ACACTGACCGGGCCCTGGTCACTCATCAGCTGCTGTAGCCTGAGGCCCGTCCAAATACTGCGACTCCTGAGGTACCGGCTCGTCGAAATACCGCGGAGTGTACCTGGTTTCCATGACAATACTTGTTATCAGGTTGCTGGACACACAAGCTGAAGTAGAGCCCTCAGCACAGTAACACAACCACCCTGCTGTGCCGAGGCGCTGGACAGTTGAGCCCGGTCATAAGCACAGCCGCCTTACCGTGGGTGACTCTCCCGTCCGGAACACGACACGGACACGGACACGCGCCACGCGCCACGCGCCACGCGCCCGGGCGCGAGCGGTCTTCAGCTCCTCCGCCCGTTTGAATTTTTGGCGGTTAAAAGCGACACAGGAGCGACCGTTATGACCCGGAGTTCTGACGACGCAGATTCAAGGGGGGTCATTCGGAAGGGAAAAAAGTCCTTAAAAGTTATTATATTTTATTGAATTGTCGCGGAGAGAGAGCAAAATGGCGACTGGGATTCAAGAATTTTATTCAGGTGATTTTTACTCTTGGGTTTTTATGACTTGCTCTGTCTGAACTGTAGCACAGGGTCGCATTTGGGGACCTTTCTCCTTGACACTCGTGTTTTGTGTTTTGTGTGTGTGTGTACGGGTGGGCGTGCTTTTGTCGTGCGTGTGTTTGAAGTTCCTCACAGGGGGTTGCTGCTGAAGTCTATATTTAAACACGGTGACACCCGCCCACGCATCTTCCTCCGTGACATAACTGGAAAAAAAGTCAAACAAAAAAAAAGAAGAAAAATCAAATCGGGCTACAATTAATATTAAAAACGACGAGGTGTTGTGGAATAGACACGCAGTCTGAGTGGAGCGTAACCTTTGTCTGAATGATAGACGCCCCCATCCAGGACGATTTACAATACAAACTATGTGAATAGGTACGATTTTGCACATAATGATGCGATTCGTAACAATCATGAAAAATGCAGGACAAGCCAGCAGTGCCAAACAAAATAGGAAAAATTATAACTGCATAAATACATCACATTATCTCAAGAGTAAAGAACAGCAAAGAAAATATGTTATACATGAGGTTTTAATGATTTTAAACAATAATTGTTTCACGTTTAGTCATCCTTTTCCTTTTCTGACGTCTTATTTTTACGCTGCTGTTCAGCCTCGTCTCACAACTGCGTAGACAGCTCAGGTTCCGGGACCGGAGTGCCTGGGCCGGGTCGAGCCCAGCCTGAGCTGGAAGTCGGTTTCTGCTTCTGTCAGAGTTTTCCTGGGGAAGCCCCCGGCCAGGCTGGGCCATGCAAATCTGAGGCTGCGTGGGGACAGGCGTTCGCACTTCCCTTTTGAAAATCACAGCAGGACATGTGGAAGCTGCTAAGCCCTCTGCAGCCCGAGACACTGCTCCACACAAGCACCCCCCGACTCGACTTCCCTGCTGCTGAGCTGGCAGGAGCGCCCTGCTCATCTCGCTTGCCCTGACTTCCTGGCACTGCCGCTGGCAGGAGGTTTATTGTTTTGGTGGGGATGAGCCGCTCTTTCAGCGGTCAATCTGTCCTTTAGTTCCCCCCTTGAGTATTGCTGGGCTTTCGGGAGGTTGCTGGACAACACTGACGCTAATCCCCGTGCTGAGTGAAGAGGCCTCCACACTTCACTGTCACTGTGACACCGGCCCAGTGTGCTCGGAATTCTGGGAGTGTCTGAGAGGACATGTCACCCTGCAGCTGAAAACCCACTGGAGCCCAGCAGGTCAGTACCTGGAGGGGAGACTCCTGGGAAAGCTAAGGTTGCTGCTGGAAGAGGTGTTAGTGGGGCCAGCAGGGGGCACTCACCCTGCAGTCTGTGTGGGTCCTAATGCCCCAGTATAGTGATGGGAACACTGTACTGTAAAAAGACGCCGTCCTTCGGATGAGACTTAAAACCGAGGTCCTGACTCTCTGTGGTCATTAAGAATCCCAGGGTGTCTCTTGAAAAGAGTAGGGGTGTTACCCCGGTGTCCTGGCCAAATTTCCCCCTGGCCTTCACCCATCATGGCCTCCTAATAATCCCCATCTCTGAACTGGCTTCATCACTCTGCTCTCCTCCCCACTGAGAGCTGGTGTGTGGGGAGCAGACTGGCACATCATCCAGGTGGGTGTACACACTGGTGGTGGTGGTGGGGATCCCCATTACCATTACTATATAAGTGTAAGCAATTATTATTATTACTGTTGTGGTTGTTGTTATTTCCTGCCGTGCCTCTCCAGGGTGTTCGGTGGAGGCACGTCCCGGCACTGTCGGGCATTAAAAAGAAAAGTGTGGTGCAGGCTGGTGCAAGTGATTTCATCCTTCACCGTGCACAGCTCTGCCGGCTAGGATGAAGGGTCTCTGTTTCGGGCTGGTCTGTGTGTTGTGCTAGAGATTTATACAGGTGTGCATTAACCTCTTCATAGACAGAATGAGGACAGACAAGCCTATGTTCTATACAGCATCTTAAAAGTAGAAGGAATCCCAGCTTCTTCGCTTTAGAAAGTAGTTTAGGAAATAGGAGGTGGGGGAGGGGGGTCAATCTAGGGGCTGTGGTTATTGATCTGTTGCTGTGCGGCTCATCAGGAGATCGACTTACAGAGCTGGGAGAGCCTGAGTGTGGCTGTGTGTGACTGTTATCTTTCGACAATATTATAGAAAGGCAACTTTTAAAGATCATTCATAAATCAGGTAGCATTCTTACATGTTGAAATTAAAATGTCAAAACCAACTCCTCTTTGCAGTGGGCAGTCCCTCTTAGTGACCATACAGACAGTGAAATACGGAGACCCAGTACACCGCCCCCCTGCTATCTCTCCCTCTCCCTCTTTCTTGCCTCCTTCTCTCTCCCAGTAATGCCCAGCCTCTCCTCCCCTCCCCCACACACACTGCTCCCCTGTCATGATCCCTCTCTCTGTATTCCTCTCTCTCTTGCACTCACTCACTCCCCTCCACCCTGGGTCTATGAATCAGTCACAGTCAGACCAGACAGGGTTTATCTTCTGTTTCATGACCAGGACAGAGGGCAAAATAAAAGCAAGAGGGTGGGAAACAAATCAGATTTGGGATGAATTTTTAAAAATGGTAACAATGTTGACATAAAACTGTAACATCCATAATTAAATATTTTAATATAAACACTTTGAGGACAGGAACCTTTGTTCCTTGAATTAACAGAAGTATGTCCTCTGTAGCGATTAGGGTTGCCAACTGCTCTCAGATCAACTGGTAAGTTTGAGGGAGGACATTAAACTAAACAATTTGCCACATTTTTGGTTTATGTTCTTATGTTTATGTCAACCATAGACTCCACTGTTCAGCGGGTCAGAATAGCTGAACCTCATTACTGACTGCACAAAGCCTCTACAAATTAGGAAGATGTATAAATGGACTTAGGAAAACCTGCAAATTTGCAATGGGAGGGTAAATGCAAATTAAGAGCAATAAACTTAATAAACAGAGCAAATATAAAATATTCAAGATTATGTTATTTTTGTCTTACAACAAACTGTTGATTTTAATAGCACCTCATGATAATTAAGCACTATCTTCCATATAGTACACAATTCTTGTGCAACTTATGCATTTGATTGAGAAGCAAGGTGAAAACCTGTCCTGTCTGAAGACGTCCACTTTATCCGGGGACAGCTGGCAACACTAGCAGCAAAGGATTGAGAGAAACTGATGATGAGGGTGGATTTATATATGTATGTGTGCAGCTTTGCGTGTTTATTCATCCGTGTCAACCCACTGCTGCATGGAGACTTCCCCAGGAGTCTTTCCTGAGCTTCGGTCTCCGACCGTCCTCATGCAGCTTGTCGCTCAAACTTCTGGATTTCAGTGTGGCACCTCCCAGGAGTCTTCTTGGCTTCTTGTCTCTGGGGATGTATTCCGTTAATTCGTTATTTGCTGGAATATCCATGTTTTTTTTCTCATAGTGAGTCCAGCCCTGTCCTTTTTCATTTCTTCATCAGCGTGTAATTTTGCATTGTTCCATGATGTTTTGGGTTGTCTGGAGTCTTGCTGGCATTTATTTCCATGTTAGTACACAAAGGCATATGTATAAATACACACTTGTAAAATGTATCGATATTTCTGTGTGTGTTTGTAAAGGAACTGTACACATTGTACACATTTGTCGTATATGGCAGTAGGGAATGTTAAACAGGATATTAAATTTATCTGAAAGGCTCAGTGCTCGAGCCCCCTTCAGCCAGCCTCACTGAGCACACAGGGAGAGCCAGCGAGGAGACGTGGGGTGGAGCTTGGCTCCGGACTCGACCTGTCACTGGCTTCTCCGCCTGCCCATCAATCACATGCGTTATCCCATTGGCCGAACCCCTGCGGGCTTATCATTCCATCTCGTGCTGCTCCTGCTCTTATCGCCCCCCACTTTTTCAGTCGTCTTCCTCCGCTAGCGGGCATAGTGCCTCTGATCTCTTATTATATAAACACGAACTGCTGAAGTGGCAGCGAAATTGGCAGAGGTGGCTGAGCCCTTCGGCAGATCTGCGACTATTTTCTGCTTTTCGGAGAAGGGTTTAAAATTATTAGCTCCTTGTTGGGCGTTTGAAATCGGATACCGGTGGCGTTGAGGTCCCTATTTGAAGGCGGAGGGATACCGTGTTGGGGTTGACAATGTGGAGGTTGTTAAGATGTCTACTCGGAGGATGAAATGGTTTCAATTGTAGCAACAAAAAAGAGAGACGTAGGACTTGTAGAATTGTTTTTTTGTTTTTCATCCGGATGCAAGCTGTATAGTATTTTAATGACGTGGACTGCTTAAAGAAGCAATCTAGAAGTACAAAAGAAGAGCCCTCCGCTCTGTTATTTCGGCTTTTGAAGCGCTGTGGGGGGAAAATTGTCTTGAAGTTTTATTTTTCCCCTACAGTCCGGTCTTTATCTCATTTTTCTGCTGTTGGATGCCAGACCCCTGAAAAAGGTAAATATCTTATACTGCGCCGTTTACTGAGGAGGGGAGGTCGCCGCCGCCGCCGAGGAAAGGCAGAATTTCTTCCTGCGGAGCTGATGAACTTTTTGCAAAATAAGAAAAGTTTGGGAATGCGGTTTAGGAGAAACGGTGATGTTGCGGGAGTTTTTGTCTGGGTTTGAGGTCTGAGTCCGAGTGAAAGTGTGGGAGACGGGGAGATCGAGGTGGGCTCATCTCGGGGCTTGTGAGGGAAATGAGGTCCTTTGTTCACTTTTGAAGAATATTGACAAGTTTAACGGGAAGGCTTGAAGTTTCTGAGCACCGTCTAGCTCACGCAAGTAGTGTGCAGCGAGGCAGCTGCCTTTGTCTGAATCGAGTCTGCGGTCGTGTGGCGATTCCTAGTAAAAACACCGCCAGCAAGGCTTAGGCTTTTAAACTTTTAAAGGCTTTTAACGTCTTTTCTGGGTAGATGCGCTTCAGCTTCTCTTTTATGCGTTTTTGTGTGGATTCCTAAATGTGTGCAGTTCCTTCATGATTGCTGTTCCAGCGGCTGGCCGAGGGGACCTTATTAATTTGCTGTTTATTGTACATTTGGCAGGAAATTCCTTGTGTCCAGCCTTACCCCCCCCCCCCCACTTCCCCCACACCGTCAAATGTTGCTCAGAAGTTTTTGGACAACATTTTTGGGATATTTTTAAATTTGCTGATCATTTGTGGATTTGTGTACTACAGCGAGGAGATGTAACTCTATTCGCGTGTGTGTACTTTATTCGAGTTTTCTTTCACAATCGACGCCTTCTCTCGGTTAGCTCCTACCGAGTTATTCTGCCTTTGTGTAGAGGAAAGGGTGTTACATGAACCCGTTTCGAATTTGCACCAGCAGCTTTTCCCCCCCGTTTTTCCCCAACGTAGCAAAATTATGGAAATACGTAAAAACCGAACTAAAGAAATAATCACGATTTCAAGTTATTCCACATGAATGCGCACGCACTTTGAAATTAAATACTGTTCCATAGACTAAGAGCAAGCGGCTCGATCCAGAGCACAAGTCGATTACAATAGCAGCGATAAATAGAAATATTATCCGAGTTTGGGGAAACCGGGGGGGCAGTGAAGGCGAGTAAGGAAAGATATGGAAAGGAAATCGGGGAAGCTGGAATCTTTCATCGATCGGTTCTGTGAAGTTTATGGGTGCCTATAATATGTGCGGAAACCAGTCTAAAATGAGGTCGTACTTGAAGCATTTAATTACTATTATAGTTCAAGCAACTGTTGCTTTGATAAATGTCGTACACACAATACTTTCAAAATGCCCTTTACATTGTAGTATCGAAAGCGTGTTTTCGTGTTTTTTGATTGAAGGTCTGGCGCAGGTATTGCAAGTTACTTTTAATTTGCGAATGTTTAAATATCTAGTCGCGACTTCAGTTTTCGCGACGTTTAAACTGTTGAAGCCCTTGGACCCTGTAGGATGTGTTGATCGCAGCCATGTTCTTCTTTTCGGCTGGAAGAGATCCGTTTGGCCGCTGTGTGCTGGTCTCCAGGGTGGGGTCTCAAACTTTCGCAGCAGTTCTCTGATATTTGTAACTCCCCTGTCACGGTCCCCCATTTTGAACTCGCGGTGCTCGGCAGGCGCCGCTCCGCCGCTTGTTGCTTCAGAAGGCTGGTCCGTGTGGGCTGAGCGGTACATGTGTGGCGATTTATGGCAGAGAAACGAAAGCAACACGGCTCTGGGATTATTGTGTGTTGTATAAGCGAGATCTTGCTGTCGCAGGGGTGCTGTGGAACGAGAATGGTTATTTCAAACCGCAGCCGGGGGGTTTCGCGTTGGCTGTGCCCAAGCTGTCCGTGTGCCCGGTCTGCGGCTGGGCATCGCACAAGCGGCCGCCCCGTGAGGTCTCCACCGACACGCCACGAATCGGGGGCACAGTGGACGCTTTCCACTTATTTGGGGGGGGGTGCAGTTCTTAAAATGGTAGCTGCTTTTGACCCCCACACGTACACGCTCATCACCCTGAAAGGATGGGGAAAAACGTACTGTTGAAATGCTGCTAGATTTGATGACCGATAGGCAAAATACAGGGGTGTTAGTTTTAGGAACTTTGCGCTGTAGAGATTTATTTTACTCCTTATTTCTAATTCTCCTGATGCCCCCTTTCATCGAGGATTAAACTGTTATTCCTTTCCCATGGGAAAGAAGCTGCACCATAGACCACTCGGGGTATTCTGTAAAAGCCCAGTCAGGTGTTAATTCGGGCATCCTTTCATTGGCACCTGGGGCCAAGCATACACTGCCAGGGGTGTGGGGAGGCCCTCAGGTCCTGAAGCTTTTTTTAAAAGATTTCACACAGGAAATCTGGTGAACAGTTCAAATTGTCCCGAGAAACGCCGGCGAAAAACAATTGGATTCACACTTTGTCAGCGTTAGACGCACATGCTGGATGTGGCGAGGGAGATTCTGGCTGTGGTCCAGGGCAGTGCCCTTTGGCTGTAGCTGTGGTAGAGTGCAGGGCTGGTGGCTGTTGTACAAACAAGGAGGCCAGGCGCCTTGCCCGTTGATCTCAACTCAGAACAGTGGTACTGGGTGGCAGTGGGAACACAGAACAGCTGAGACACCGGAACACCAGGGCAGCACGTCGCAGCTGGGGGGCTCTTTATTCAGTCGTTAGCTGTTGTGAGGTTGCCCACTGTCCTAGAGCAGGGTGGCTTGCCCTGTTGTCATTCCAGCCCACCCTCAGGCAGTACCTTTGTGTAACCTTCACCTTAATTGTTGCCTTTTTTTCCCCCATTTAAGATGAGGAGACAAAATCTGAGTCTGATTGGATTGGAATGGGGGGTGAAATAGCCTGAGTAAAGTAGTGGCCGTTTCGTACAGTGTGGCGCCCCAGTGAACATCACAGTGGCAATAACAACAAAGACACTTCCCAGCAGCTGTAGTACATGCGATACACCGGTGGTCCTTCAGAGTTTACTTGCAAGATCCATGGGTTTTCACGCAGAATTGCAAGAGCCCGCTTTGCTAGCAGGAGAACCTTAAGAAAACCTTTGCTTGTGTATTTGCAAGTTCAACAGAAAAGCCCGGTGGATCTGGGATAAAACGTTTTAATTTATTTTTAACAATTTATAACGAAAAAAGAAAAATATTTTGGCTGCCAATCTTAGTTGTTTTTTTGTTGCAAAAAGCCTTATTACCTGTGAAGTGAAGACGGTGGGAGGAAGAATCTCATTTGCATGCAGCCGTCTTGGCAGGCGGTCTGGTTGAGGGGTTGTGAGTTTGGCTGTTTTGTGTAGGGACTGTATCAATAAAAGTAAGTGTGGCAAAACTGACAGTGTTGAAGCTTCCTTAAAGCCAGGCTGTTTGAATTGGATTTTTCTCGAATTGTTGGTTTTGCCGGGAGCTCTGAAAGAGACCTTCAAAGGCGCACTAGCCAGCATTCGTATATTACTGTTGGAAATATGCAGTAGCCTCAGGATGGAAGGATATTCACAAGAACAAGTCATTCCAGAGCTTAGTCTGGAGAACTGTCTTGCAAGACCCTGGTTCTGGGCAGTGTCAGATTTGCATAAATGGCACCTGAACCTTTTTACTGGCGATCTACCGAGGAGGATACTAACCCAGCTGCAATAGGCAGGCAGCTATCTGTGCTGAAACCAGGCCACTACATGCAGTAGGAAGCAGATTACTATTCCACGTGCTTGTCAAGGGGGTGGGGGGCGATGCTGTTTGTGAGATCCAACTGTTACAGCAAATGGTGTTTGTAAATAATGTTATCGCAGGTTTGCCTCGTAAAGGCTCTTTTTAAATCAAGAAAGTAAAAATACAATCCAGCCACTTTCCGGCTTCTATATTGTACTCATTTATAACCACCCCTTTTATTTCCCCTGCAATATACCTGTATGTAAGCAAATCTTATCTTGGCAGGGTGATATTGTGTAGGATCTTGTTTGCCTGTGAACTGGGGTGTGGTTGCAGAAGCGGTTGAAATCCCTCTCCTCCTTCAGCCCAGGAGACGGAGGGAGAAGGGCTTGGAAGACTCGGCCACACCGGAGTCGAAATGACAATTATTCAAAAGTGTCAAACGGAAACAAACAGCAGGAAAAAGCAAGAGAAACCATCGGCAGACCCCCCAGCATGTTGCCTGTTTTAATTCTGTAAGGAATTTTGGTGGTGTGGTCGCACACCTGCAGAAGTGAATCCAATTTCCTTTGCATCAATGTATGTATACTATAGGAAACCACATTAAAGAAACCTTTTTGGCCTTTTTTGCTACTAAAGAAGGCCCTGTGTATTACTTTAGGGGCGGAGTGATGGCTCTGTGGTTCAGGATCTGTGCCTGTGGCTGGAAGGTTGCCGGTTCAAATCCCGCAGCCGGCAGAGGAATCCTACTCCGTTGGGCCCCTGAGCAAGGCCCTTAACCACAACTGCTACAGGGGTGCTGTACAATGGCTGACCCTGTGATCTGACACCCATCTTCTCTCCCTGTCTGTGTGTCTGTGTCTCATGGAGAGCAAGCTGGGGTATGCAAAAAGACGAATTCCTAATGCAAGAAATTGTATAGGGCTAATAAAGCAACATTATCATTAACATTTACTTGCAAGAAACGTTGCTTGGCATTGCTCAGCAGCTTGATCCGGTGCAGGGTTTATGTGGTACAGGTTTGTTGTACAAGTCAGGGTAAGCTGCTGTATGTTTCGAGTTCACCTAATGTTGAGTACATGTGCATAAAGAGAAAACTTTGCTTTTCTGCCTAATCATCTGTATGGTCTTGTAATATGAGGTAGCAGTTGAAAGCCCAGGTAAGGAATAGGACCACAGTGGCACTGGCACTATCCCATCTCCTGTTTTTTTTTATGAATGTTTGATGAAATTAAAACCCAGACACAGGTTTCTCACTGCGGAGAAGTTAGTGCAAGTGCTCTTTTAAAAAGGCTGCTTGCAGGGGTTTGAGACGCCAGGGATACTCCCCAGGATGCAGCCGCTCTGCTTACTGTACTAAAGCCAGCCCTTTCAGTGTTGTCGTGAGCCATGGAGATAGAAGCTGGCAGGAGTACAGGTTTGCAAATGTGTGTACAAGCAGGGCTGCAGCTTCAGGAGCCAGAGCATAGACGATGTGATGAACAGGTGTGTTATTCTTCACTTGAATAAAACCTGATAAAACAGTTTACTATTGAGTTCCTCTGAATTGAGTGAAGTCAGATACAAGTCTTTGGTACAGCCAGCTCTTTAAATAATAGCAGGAAGAAATACTGATTAATCAGGAAGGCTGGATGAGCCAGAGCCCTCCGTGGAGAGGTGAAGGGCTAGTGTTTGGTTTCCTCTCTTCTAAACTCGGGAGTCTTTGTTTGCCGGGGCTGGCACTCGCTGCGATTCAGAACTCGTCCACCAACAGGAACCTTTGCTACGGTCTGCAACATCTGGTACACTTCAACTCCTTGGCGTTTACCAACAAAACAGAAAAGAGGCTGGTGAGAAGCGTTGCAGTATCAGTTTCTGTTTGTTGTATAACGTGTCGGAGATTGTTACAGATCGAAACAAGGCTGGTGTCAGCCTCGAGTCACAGCACAGTTAAGGATATAGTGCAGGGTACGTTTATCACACTCTTGCAGTAGTGGGCAGTGGAAGCATCATGTTTTGGATGCATGACGCTGAGTTTTAAGATGGATGTACTTGAAACTGCTTTGAGCTTTTCAACAGATTGCTAAAATAAATTCGTCACGCTGTTTTTAAGTCCGGATTTGTTGTTGCAGAACACTCTCCTTGTCCCCCGGAGTTGAGGTGGGATTAGCTCTGGCAGGAGTCGCACAGTAGCAGGTGGAGCTCGGGAGCTTTGGGCAAAGGGGGAGAGTGTGGTTGTCCCAGTGTCCGTGGCTTGAAGGGTGGGGCTGGTTTCAGCCCGGGTGAAAGAATGATGGTGGTGGCGTGAAAGGAGATGTGAAGGAAAAAGGATTCTAGTGGTAGTTCTGTCTTCTTGTACAGCTTTCTGGACACTCCAAACACTTTGAATTCACTTGTTACCTCTCTCACAGCCGATATTGGCGGTCTAGTGAAGCGCTCGCCCATTGGGTGGGTGTCTGCAGGTCTTCAGTTCTAGTTAGATTCTAGAAGTCTTGTATCTCGTAAGTTAAATTGTCCTTTTGACTTAAATGGACCTCTATAATCCACCCTTTAGTAGCTGCTGCTGTGGTCTAGAGCTGTGAATGATTGCACACAGTCAAGTGTGAAGGGGTGGTAGGGCTCAGGAGAGCCGTGTATTCTGCACTGGTGAGTCGGGGATATTTGGAATATACTGTTTGACATGTAAACAGATTGTTTTTAACATGTCATGGCTGCAGTCATGTACGTGACCATTCAAGAATGTAGTTGTTAAAAGGCAGCGTTTAACCTGATATTGTTCCGTTTGTGCCCTGGGATTTCTATTTCACTATTTCAGTGCCCGCGAAGAGCAGGTGCTGTAGTTCACACTTAATACTGGGGGAAAAAATTCAGATTTAGAACGGTTCGCTTTAGGATCAAATTGTTTGTCTTTGGTCAGATGTGGAAGTTTGTCAGTTGTAATGCCACTTTATGTATCTGACCTTATCATTTTTAAGCCGTAGTTCAGTATTTTGATGGGTTGGTGTCAATGTATAATATCTGTGCCCCACCCTCCATTAAATAAGTAATTTTAATTGGCCATGCCGTGCTCTATTGCAGCCATAGCAACAACAGTCAGCGGGACAGTCATACGAGTATGGAGACACTTTCCTCCATGCAGACGTTACTGTTTTATGTTAATTAAAAAGCTTAAGAAGTGTGAGGACTTGGATAATGAACAGGTCAGAAGCTGCACAGTGCAAGGCTGTTGCTGTGGCGAGGGAAGCCGTGTGTGTGTGTGCACAGATCTGGTGGAAAACAATCTGCCGTTGAAAGTTGGGGCCCCGTGGCCCCCCCAGCTCAGTCTCTGTCTTGGTTTGTATATTCCTTCAGCCAGATCATTCCCACAGTCATCGACAGTTGTGGACATGTACTCGCAGACCTTTCTCAAAATACTTGTGCTCATGGCACACTTCAAACAGACCATCCTGTTTGGTTCCTCATAGTGAATTGATTTGAGGATGATTCCCCTTAAGAATTCTAGGTTCTCTGCTGCAGCAGCATTGCTGGGTCGTTTGCTATCTTGATCCAGGATTCTATAGCCTCCAGGACATAATCCCTTACTGTCCATTTTGTCCCCTTTATTTTCTCTCTGTTTATTTGGCAGAAAATCATTGGGTTGGTTTTCCTTGTCTTTGAGGATTTTGAATATTCATTAATGTGATTTTTTTAGTTTATTACCAATGCAGGCAGAATAGTTGAGTTTGTTGAGGGATGCATCTTCATCAGGCTTACAAAATATCCCGTTTCTGGTTGTGTCCCAATATTTCTGTAGTTGAAGTAGTAAGTGTAATTCTACATGCGTTTAAAATAAAAGGCCTACTCTTTTAGTGTGGCACAACACAGAACTGTAATTCTGTATGTAATATGAATCAGCGTGTGACATAATGCCACGAATAAAACAGCACAGACCAAGAGCTGGAACTTGTCTAGCATGATCTTATGTAGGCAGCCTTGAAGAAGGAGGATCTTCGCAGTCGGAGTGCAGTTCTTTGTTAGGGGTGGGCTCAGGGGTGTGGGGGACTGCATGTTATAACGGCAGGACTCTGTGTGTGTGATTTCAGCCTCCACTCTGGTTCCAGTAATGGTCAACCTGTTCTTTCTGCAAATCTCACTCGTAGGGTTGTTAGTGGCTGAGACTGAGTGGCATGAACGAGCAGCAGCAGAGAATGGCTGCCGTGGGAACAGACAAGGAACTCAGCGACCTCCTGGATTTCAGTGCGGTAAGACGGGGTGGGCACTGGGGGGGTGGCGTTGCGTTTTTAGGATGTGGGCAAAAGTAGCAGGGAATGAAGTGAGGGTACAGAATGGCCTTTGAGGGGAGGCTGGCTCCTCGAATGGTGGCAGGGACAGGCTGGTCTTCTAGGGCTGCAGAGTATATAGGTTTTGATACTATATGAGCTCTTATTTGCCCAATTAAGCTCATTTTCCTTGATGAAAAGCAAATCATACATAGTCTGACGTTTGTGTAATGGACATGGTTCCGGTTGTGAGTTTACTGTGAATATGGAGGGACATGAACTGAAGGAATGTGCGTTGCACTGCGTATGTGGCCTTGCGCAGTATCCAGGTGAGGATGGATTTGGTTATGCTGGGAGGGAGCTTGCTTTGAGACCTTGAACTGTAGTAGCCATGTGACCTCACGTGGTCCCCTGAGCCACTGGCCATATTGACCGTCCAATCTGGGAGAAAGCATGAGGGTCTTAATGATCATTACAGGTAAGACAAGGGCATTATTCATATTCAGAACTGCACATACTGGATCATTTTTTTCTTCTGTGTAAGGGTTTTAAACCATCTGAATTTAATACCTTTCCTGATTGAGAATAGTGACTGAATGTACAATCTGGTGTATTTTTCAGTAAATTTTTATAACATCGGTTAACTGATGCACAAGCTTTTTGGGAAACACTGTTGATAAATTAAGCGTTATTCCAGCTGGAGAGGCTCCCTCTTGTAATGTGGTGTTGCTTGGACTTGAATCCTTGGAGATCCTGTGGAACTGTGAAGAGGCCATCGTCTTGTGTAGCACTTGTCCCCCAAGGATACTTGTGGGAAGAGAACAGGAGGCCAGAAACAGTACAGCAACAATACACTTGGGGATGTGTTAATCTGACCTGAGTCAATTGATTGTCCAGACAACACAGAAAACCACAAGTCCTTCATAGCCGTCTGCAGACGGCAGAATGGGAACCTTAACTCTTGAGAGCAGCTGTGAACCTGCCAGGCATGTGCAACTTCATTAGTGTTACAGTTCCCTGGTAGTTCTGTAGCCTGCATAGCTCTTAATGTTTGTGAGAAAAATTGAAAAAGGCAATATTACTGATTTAAGATAAGATGTCTCTTCACTTTTCAGAATACAAATTGTGTTTCTGCTTGGTGTATAAGGTTTAGACTGCTATTAATCGATTCCTTGCAGCTACTGAGGAGGAAGCTCTTTATTCCCTAACGTTACTCACTTGCCCCTGTATGTGTTATTCACACAGTCTGAAAACAGACACTGAGCAAGATCGTAATTATACAAGTATTTCATAAAGTCATTTCTTAGTCAATGGTGTTATTTTCAACAACAGGGCTCGGATTTGGGTCCATACTCGAATCCTCCATTTCGGTCTCTTCTCTCGTCTTCAAGCCATCATCAGAAGAGCTAAGAAAAAAGTCCTAGGCCCACTTAGCTCAACCCGACTCTGGGCATCGTTTTGATATTTAAATGAATGTTGGAAGATGATGGTGTGGTCAATTGAAGCGGAGCAAGAAATGACCTGATGTCCAGTTCCCCAGCCAGCCTCATGGCTCTCGGAGAGCAGGGCTTAGGTGTTGTAGTGCCAGTCCATAATCATCCCATTCCTGATCTTTTAGTTTTGGGGTGGAAGCTTTCTCATGTTGTCTGCCTGACAAAAGGATCCTGAATGTTGTATCTCAAGATCACCTCTTTCTCCCCCCTTCTTCTTATAGATGTTTGCACCTCCAGTGGCCAATGGGAAGAACAGACCAACAACGCTAGCAAGCAGTCAGTTTGGAGGGTCAGGTAGGCTTCCTGGATCCAGTGGCTTTTCAGTGACTATCTCAAGCCCTGCGTCTTCAACCGCTCTTGATTTTAAAACATTTCACATTGTTTACAAAGACACCACTGCCTTCCTTTCCTGTCCTGTATTTAAGTGGCGTTCTCTGCCTTTGTAACCTATTTCAGTGCGGTCAGAAGCACAGTACAGGCAGCACCCAATACAACCTCCTGCAGCTTTGAAAAACCTGGAATGGCTCGAACCACTGTGCAACAGGAATCTTTCATGTACATCCCTGCTTTGGGTTGGAAACCTGTTTGTAAGCCATGTCTATTTCTGTGCTTCTCGTTGGGAACATCTGTCGCAGAGCGCAGAAAAGAGAAGTAGAAACAAGCACGAAGAAAAAGCAGCTTGGCAGAAAAGTACTGAAGGCCCTCCCTGGGGGGCTGCTGCCCCTCTCTGGGTGTTTCTCCACTATGATTGTTTTGGGCTCTGAACCTCCCAGCTCGGCCGTCTTTGATCAGGCTGAGCTCGAGAGAAGGCCAGGGCAGGCGCTCGCATGCACACACCACTTATCCAGGGCTGTTTATGGTTTCAAGACGGTAAAACAAAGGAAAACCTCCGGGCGGGTTTGGGTGCCTTTGAACATTGTTTGTAGCTGTATGACATCATTCCGGCTGGAGCGCAGAGAGATGGAGGGACTGAGTGAGACAGGGCGGAGAAAAGAGAGGTTATAGCATAGCGCCAGTGCAGTGCAGACCGAGACTCCGAAATGGTGAGTCAGATTCCCGGCTTCAGCTGTTCAATCCAGTATCCTTCCAGCAGAGCAGCAGAATGTGAAAGTTGTTGTAGCCAACTACAAGGAAGGACGAGTGAATGGTTAACAGTCTGGAAACAGTTTTTTATACATACAACTATTTTATTGAAACACTAATTTGACTGTTGTAATCTTATGCTGATCTATAGTGCATTTAAATGTGGCTAGGAAACCTTGTAGTTTTAATTTGTGTTTGCAGAAATTTCTGGTTTTGACTTGTAACAAGTCTTAGATCTTGATTTATGGTAAATCTATACCACAGCCTTGTTTTAAGTATACGCCCGTGACTTAGTTTGTGTTTGGGTTAATTGTGGCACTTAGTTTGACTTAATGAAGAAAAATTCCCCCGTTCTTACTATACTTTACCCTTGGTTTGTGCTGGGGTAGGAAATAAAAACAAAATGTTCCCAGCGGTGGATATTTGTGGTGTTCTGGGGGGTGCTAGCTTTTGGGCAATTGAAACTTCAGGTGCCTGTTTCACACAGAGGCATGGTGGTGAATTGAATGTTCTTCTCTCGACCGTTTTTGATATGAGTCTCTTGTCCATTTTCTGGTCCCCTGGGGTGGCAGTTTTGTGAGTCACGTTGTGCGCACAGCTGTGTGGTTTTTACAACTTGTTTACAGAGCACATGTTCTTGATCAGGGGTTGCAGAAGAGTCCCGGAGATCTTCAGGCACTCTTCTGGGGGTCCACACAAGCAAAGGGGCACTTGTCACCCCCCAGTCCTGTGTAGATGGAAAACCAATACTTGCATAATGGTTCTGCTCTGATATAACTAATAGAGGAGAGGTTCTGTTTTTAACAAATTAAAATTCAACCAATTGTAGATATGATTGGCAGTCCTTACTGAGTTATTTTTCGAGTGGGGGTCTCCATAGGTAGAAATGTAAGAGATCCCCTCACACTGAGCAGGTTACAGAGGTAGAGGCAGAAGATCAGTAATATAGCAAGTGAAGCACGGATTGCGTTAACCTGCTTCTTGCAGTGAAATTGACATGCACCTATTGTAATGGCATTGGCTCTGGTGTCCACCAGTGACGTGAGCTGCAGTGCCCTGATTCCTCCAGTAAGGAGCTGAGTGAGCTGTAGCAGTACTGAGGCTGGGGGGGGGTATTAGTTTGTGTTGTGGGCTTGTTGCTGAAAGACTAACTCTTGCACTGATTTTTTTTTGTGTCCTGTAATTTTGTTTCCTACGTTGGGATTATTTTAGAGGATTCTTTACGCATTCTTTTCACATCCTTTATCCAATTGTGTAATTGGATTTGTCACTGCGTCATGTCCTCTCTCACTTAGCGCACTACTTTTCAGAGAGCTGTTATTTTCTGTTCTTTAGATTGATGGATTTGCCACTCTTTTTGCTTGAATACTTTGAGAATGAAGTATGGATGTCCTGTGCAGATTGAACACTAGAGGGGAAGTTTAATTCTTTTGGGCCACTGTGTCTCTGTGAAAGGCATTAGGTATTATTGTGCATCAAGTGTGGCAGTGTAAATCTTTCTTTCCATCTCCCTGCCTCCTTTTCCCACCTCTAGTGTGAAATTGAGACGTTCTCATACTACCTCCCCAATGTGAGAGAATCCAGGAGTAAAAGGCTTACAGGCTTTACCATAATTCCCGCCCCTTATAAACACGTACCTCCCCCCAGCCCCCTGCTGACCCGGAGGAAGTGGCCTGAGAAGCAGGAACAAAGAGCCCCAGTCCCCTGCTTGGCTGTTCACACTCAGCCCTGGTGCTGGACCCTTTGCCCTGTCTCAGTGTGCAGTGCTCCGCAGCACCTCGTCCGCGGGAGCGTCGCGCAGGCGGCTGGGAGCCCAGGCGCCTCCTCGCTCACCTCTGCAGCTGCTTCCTTTCATCACGGCGCTCAGAAGGGTGTGATGCTCCAGGAGCACGGGAAATGGGCAAACCTTTCCCTCCCTCTTTCTCCTCTTTCCAGCACAGACGGCGCGCACACCCCTCCACTCTCGCATCTCGCCTCTGCCTCACCAATTCCTAGTTCTGGCTGGGTGGAAGGTAGAACGACTGGAAAACCATAATTAAAATTTTCTCGGCAAAGAATGCCTGTTTTTTAATTTTTTTATAATCAAATGCACAATATGTGAGTTTTAGTTCAGTGTTACTACATAAAGAAATAGTGGTGCGGTTCAGTTCGGCCATCAGTAAAGAGACTGAAATAGTGCCTTATATAAGACACGAGGCAAGCGTTCTGTTCACAGCAGAAACGGAAGCAGAAAGTCTTCACTGCAGACGGGAGTGGGAGTTGGGTAGGAGCTCACAAAAGCAGCGCTTCCATCATCTGGCTAAGTCAGTTCCCTTAATAACCCTATCAGGGCACATCAAATGAACAGAGATGCAAAGAGCTGACCATAGCAAAGGATTGTGGAGTCTGTGCATCCCCCATTTTTTTGTTTGTTTTCCGTTTCTTGGAAATTGGTTTTGCAAACCTGGAATTCTCTGTCATAACCCTTCAGACACAAAATCTGCAGCCCCCCCCTTCCCTTGCCAGCTACATCACGGTTTCTTGAATTTAGACGAGGAACAACTGAATTTTCCAATTGTTTTTTCCCCCAGGTGTCAGACACTGGTGATGCCCAGTGTCAAATCCGCACAGTCCCTTTATGTCTGACAGCAGGAGTACTTTAATGCAGTGACATTTCTGGGCCCGTTGGACACCTGGACTGGTATTTGGAAAGTGGTGGTGAGACACTGGCTCCTGTTGACCGAATAAGGCCCCCTGGGGTTATTTGAGCTAGTCCAGGGTGCGCACCTTAACATTCAGGAATTATATTGCCTTGCAATCAGCACCTCCGTTAACCAATACCGAGCAGTTTTGCTCTCATTAAAATAGGAAGTTTGATCTATTACACTTCAGTAGAATCTTTTCATGTTCAGCAGTTGTAATTAAAGCGATCGATTTAAGGAAACTATTTTATACAGGTTTAAAGTAAGGGGACCTATTCCTTCTCCTCTTCCTACTTACACCGCCTCCTCAAGTAGTGTTTGGGAACCCTCTTTTCACTTGACCACTGCAACGGAAAATTTAAAACTCCTAAACAGGACATAAACCTGCGTTTTGAGATCTTATTTAGAGGTGTTCAATTGTGGTTTTTAGCCCATTGACCCGGCAGATTCCTTCTTTCCCAGCCGGCAGTTGCAGGGGTGATGTGAGAGGTGATGAGCGTGGGTCTCAGTGCTGGCCCTGTCCCCTGGGCATAGACTCACACCCTCGCCGAGTTTCATTTACTGCACATCTGAAACTGAGATTGAGGCTGTATTTTTAGCTGGAGTTCTAGGTTAAAAGGCAGAAGAGGGAGAAGTTTGCATGAGGTTTCTGTCTTCGGATGACTTAAAATGGGGTTTTGTCTTTGTACATCCTTTTCGCATGAGCTATTGAAAGTGTACAATGTGATAGAAAACAAATAGTTACAGACATGTTATATATCCAGTTTCTCGGACAGTGATGTTCCATTTTGTAAAACTGCGTACTTGGATTAGACTTGTCTGTTTATTGGATACTCATTCATCCCTCCAAGAAATCCTTTTTCATTGTCATCTGCGAGAATGTTACTAACATAGTGACATCCGTTTGTAAGTTAAACTCATTTTTATTTTTTGTTGATATTTTGTCCTCTAAGTTATTTTAAAAGTGCTGATCTGTCCATTCATATGGACAAAGCTGGTCAGTGAGGGTGGTCCTGGAGTTGTTAGTTTGGTTCTCAAAGGAAAAGTTCGCCAGGTTTCTTTTTTAAAAAAAAGCACTTTATTATTTTGATTTGCTTTTTTTAATGTAGTATTTTATAGCGACCTGGACAAATGCATCTATCTGTGGGCTTGAAGGACCAGGACTGAAGGCTCATGCTGTTAGGACTGTGACAGTGGTAGAGTATTTGAACCATAAGCCTGGCCTCTGCAGTGGATATTGGTTTGGGCTCAAGGTATTGAGCAGAAATTAAATGGATCCAGCAGGTCCAGCAGATTCTATGCTTGGTGTCAAACAGTACATATCGAGTTCTCCATCTTAAATTATTGACAAGTCAGAACCTAAGCTGTTGAATTAGATTTTATGATATGAGGTAAAATAACTGCAAGCTCGTACTTTAATCAGCAGTGTCAAACATCTGTAAATAAACCAGCGTTTATGACTTGGTGCTGTAGAAGATGTGACATTTCTTCCCAGTCCTTTTTCTGCACACTGGCAGTAAATTTAAGTTTACAAAAGGGATAGCTGATCAGAACACCTACAGCTTTGTTAACATTTTATGTGTGGGTGGGTGTGTGGGTTTTTAATAAAACGCAAGTGTGTGTCTGTGTCCCTGTGATGTTTGCATTTGTCTCTCAACCCTGTAGCATGTTCTCAGAGTTCAGGATCATGACTCAGATGGTGACTTGCCTTTTCCAGCCTCTCTTCCTCTGTAATTACAGACCTGAGCCATTTAAAGGGGCGGCACAGCACAGTAGTGACTGCGTCCTCCCTGACTCACTGATGCTCAAGTGAAGTACAAGTCATCCTGTGCTTCTGTTGCCCTGGGGTATACACGATGGAGGAGCGGTTTGTTATTCTGAGCCCCTTTCTCTCTATAGTCAGTTCTGATGACTTTCTGTAAAGTTTTAAGGTTCCTCGGGAATTATGCCTCAGCAGCCTGTTGAATGAAAAGCCCTGAAGGCCATACGAGCCCCTACTTTCCCAGGCACAGAAATAAGATGAAAGAAAACCTGCAGAATGAATTGATTCTGTTTTTTAAAACGTTTGCTTAGAATTGGCTTCTACAAGAGTTGTTTACTGCAGGACGTTCAATTGTGTTTATTCTGTGTGATCGAGCACAAGGAGGTTTAACAACTTGCTGGGGGGACACTGGGGCAGCGATGGGGCACTAGCCACTAACCTTCTGGTCACAAGGCCGTCTTCACTTTAATCACTTAAACCAACAGCTGCTTTTCTCCCTGTTGTGAGCAGTTGCCTGCCTCTCATTAGGTCTGGTATAGACCTGGGTTTATTACAAGCATATGGTTTTGACACTGTGCACATGCCTGTGGTGAAACAAGTGTGATAGCTGATGAGGCGGCTTGCAGCACAGCTACTGAGGATGCCATTGCCATGGTGACAGCGTTCGGAGGTTCACCTCGTGGCGCAGTCAGCGGTTGGAGCTGCGGCTGTGCTGATGGCCACTGAAGGCTGACCAGGTGGTTTTTATTCTCCCTCTGTGGAATCAGAGGATCGTGGGCTGTAGACCAATGAGTTAACTTCTGAACCCAGGATACACACAGCACTGTAGGGTTTATAGTTTTGGTGCCCAGTCCAGGTCCTGGAGGAGGTCTGGGGTGTATGATAGTTCAGGTTATGAAAGAGTCCCCAGCTGGACTGAAAGCATACAGACGCACTGGTCCTCCAGGACCAGGAGGATCCCTTGATTTAAGGGAACTTAAATCCACATGAGACTGAAGACCTGGAAACAGCGGTCATTTAGACTGCTTTACTCAAGGCTATCCAGTTCTGCTCCTGGAGGGCTGGTGCTCATTCCAACCCAGACCTTTCCAAGATGAAGCTGCAAGTCACGGGCTTAATTTTAACAACTCTCCCAGTTCTTCGGGTGCTGCTGTTTTAAAGAAGCCTAGAAAAGTTGTGGGCACGATGATTCTCAAGGACCAAGACTGGATAGCCTTGGATTAGGCAAGTAATTCACTCAATTAAGTCATTAAAAGCCCTGGGAGAAGCCTGAAAAGACCTGTTTCAGGCCCTGGAGTTTGTGGTTAAAAGCCGCTTTCACAGAGGAAGCATAATAGCATTTTGAAGAAAACAGGCTCCTTAACATCTACTGAAAGTGGGGTAAATGCTGTAGAGGGGATGGCTGCTGAATTTACTCCAGTTCAGCTTGTAAATGTGCAGTTTACCCCCCCCCCCCCCCTCGCTTTGTTCATTTTGTGTTGCAGATTTTTTTCTTTCTTGTTTCCCATTTAGGAAAACTACTGGCTTTATCTTTTGAAGGTTTTTTATAAAGAAAAATACAGAAGACTATTGAAATCTCTGCTTGCTTATTGTACAATGTCTTTATCTAGTAATCACACTAGATCTGTTTTAATTAGGAATGAAAATTAAAAAAAACCTTATGAATATGCATTAAGCAGTAATTAATATGCACAATTAAGCCTCTTTCCCTCTCACTCAACTGTTCAGGCTCGTCTTTCCCTCATTTTTCCTTACTCCTTTCTCTTTTCCTGTCCGTTTGGTCCCACCTCTTTTTCTCCCCCCCTCTTTTTCTGTTCTTATTTGATAGTAAGTCGGCGTTCGCTCTTCGGAGCAGAGTGCCAGCAGATCTGCGTCTGCCCAGCCCCTGGCAGGAGCCGTGTGCTGTCTGTCACTGCGGAGCCACACAGCACCTTCTCCCTAATTGCTTCTGAGTTAATTACTACTTGAAGTGCGGTAAACAGTGTAGCCAGTGCATTAATTTACCAGCAACAACAATGTTTTACAGCTACTTCCAGTCTTGTTTATTTTTGTGCAAGACAATCATCCAGTCTGCAGAGATGCATCTATGTAACAGTGTTGGACAGATCATTCAGAGCACATACTGAGGTTAAGTGGGTTTCAGTGTGTGACTTGATGTGGTATTGTATACAGAACTCAAGCTTGCACTTGGATTGGATTGGCTTGTGCATGAGACATGAGGGCAGTCTAAGCTGTTTCACTCTGAAGTCTTCATCACTAATACTAAACCAGTGTCCAGGTGGATGAAGGGATATACCTGTCCATGTGCCATTCTTAACCAGGGAAAGAGGATGCAAAATTCCGAGTAGAGGTTTGAGTTGCGTCCAGTTTGCCAGAGCTGAGTCGCACCTTTCTGATTATTGTATGGATCTTATCGAGAGCTCTTTGGGCACTTGCTGACCAACATTTCCCCTGGGTTAATCTCAAAGGCTCAATGAGGCTGCTTGCCACGTTTTTACCCAGGCTTTAAAGCTGGTTGTCCATCGTCTTTCTGGAGCTGGGTTTTTAGACGGTATGGAAGGATGCACTTTGTCCCATCAGTCTTTCAGCTCTTCTCTCTCCATGTCTCTCGTTTTCTTTCCACAGTTGCTGATCTGGTGGAGATTCACCCCCCCCCCCTTCTATTTTTTAATTAGTCAACAAAATCAAAAGAAATATGAATATTCATAAGGCAGTCACATTAATATGCACAATTATGCAAATCAGTATGCAATTAAGCTTCATCTCTCCAGAGAGCTTCTGCAGTGTTAACGTGCATGATGGTGGTGGTGGGATTTCTGCTTCAGCGATCTTTAAAGTTCGATTTTTCTTTTCTCCTTTAAAACCCTTTATTTAAGAAATGAACTGATGTATAAAATCACTTTTGGGAAATGAAAGGAATTCTCTTTGGTCTTTGTGTATTAGAAACTAAAATGCCAGAAAGAGATGCTTTTCTGATCATCTTTGAACAGACCTCAGGACTTAAATTGTCAATCCTAAAACTTACTGGGAGAGAGAGTTGATCAACTTGGAACAGTTTCATGGTTTGTCCAGATATCTTAATCATATCCATCACCATACTTTGACTTGAAAACTTCGGTCATACCTTAGTTTTAACAAAGCAATCATGCAAATCGCTTACGTGTGAGTGGTGCTATGTTTTGCACCAGTGCGTTTTCTTTTCTGTAGTTTTGGTCCCTGTCCTGTGAATAAAGAGAAGAAAGAAAATTCATACATGCGAATCCATTAGTTTGTCTTCCATTGTGTTCGCTCTGCAGCTTGAAATAATGTAACTGAAACTGGAGTTTAACTGAAACAAGCTGCAGATCAGTGAAGCACATCGCCCCCTGCGGTCATCTCTGGGAAACAGCAGATCCCTCTGGCTCTTGACTAGTTTGTCACTTTAAAACCGTTTCACAGAGCAGTATTTTATTGCAAAATCATAGCATTTAAAGATAGTTATAATTTTGCTACAGCTGTTAGAGGTATTAAAACATGGACAGATCTCGTAATTTTCAGTTATTTTTTATTCTTATGGTAGAGTAATTGTGACTTTCAGTCCATCTGTTAGAAATATTATTTCTCTGTGTGATTTTGTGCAAGATTTAAAGTGGAATGCTAGTGGCATAGTTGTAAGTGCTGCTACTGTTTAGGAAGCTCTCTGTAACAGAATGGGCTGTACTGATGCATTGTTTGGTGCTACACAGAAAATATGAAGCAGTTTGACATTTGATGGCGACTCATTCAGCAGTATGGTGCAAGATCGCGAATAGCAGTCAGTTGACAAGACCTTATTTGTTGTACATCTGGTTATAGTGGAATGACAGAGGCACAGTTGGTAAGGGGAACAAATCAGCAGGTCAGAGGGGATACCTGTATTTAACATGGGTGTGGGCAGGGCACAACTTACTTGTTTTGACTTGGGTGCTTGGGAAAATCTTTCATGATGAATCTTTCATTCTCTATTTTTTTGCATCTGCCCATTCTCATTCTGCATCATCTCATTCTCCCTTTGTGTAAAGGGAGGTAAGAGCCATGAGCAAAACTCTCATTCATTTTCTTAAAGCACATTGAAGGATCACAAGAAACAGCTGGATGAAAGCCTTAGATTGTTGATCTCATTTGTAACCTTTTGTTATGCTTCTGCCTCTTCGTTTCTGACCAATCTGGGTCTGCCCTTTTCAGATTTCGTTATACTTCTCTATCAGTGCCCGTCTCCAACACGTTGATCTGTTTGTTCTCCAGGTATGGACGAGCGCAGCAATTCAGGATCCTGGGGTTCTGGGGAACAGAGCAGCCCCTCCTTCAACCAGAGCAGGGTATGGCACGCCAGGGATGAGCCCCAACTAGTCAATTAACACCAGTCTGTTCGCACCCAGCGCCACTGTGGGCTCTCATGATACTGGAGAATCCCCTTTTGTTAAGAAAAACTTGGTTTACTGTCCTGCCTCTGTAAATATTGACCTAGAAAAGTAACTTCCTCCCTTTCTGCAGTCCAGTCTTCAATGCCCTAGTGACTGCTTGCATCAGTCCAGTGTACAATGAGCATTAATTTGCAAAAAACAGATTGAGATGATATATTAGCATATAGATTTTACATTAATCTGGGAGCTAGTTTCTAGGGATTGAGAGACTTTTTAAATATTTTTTATCCTTTGTCTTATTGTGCACTGAAGGTTTGCTATTCCTAATTTGATGTGCTGTCTCTGTCCACAGGGCTATGGAGAAGGCTCTCACTACAGTGAACATGAGGGGCTGTCCTCACCCCCCTTCCTCAACTCAGGGATAGTCGGTAATGTTTCTCTCAGCTCTTACTTTTCTTATCAATTTTAAGACTGGGCTCATTATAAATTAACCCAAGTTTTCGGGTGGAGCATTTAATATAAATTCGTATCATGCGAGGGTATACAGTGTTGTGATAACACTGACGTGAATCACAACATTTTTAAAAATGTTTTTCTTTTACATTTAGTAAATGCAGATTCCTCAAGTCTTCATTTTTAGTTCATCCTCTTTGAAATGCTTTAGAATTTGCTGTGGAAATGGTGTACCGTGACTCAGAAAGAAAACTGGATGAAAATGATAATAACGCACCATATAATAAAATGCAGTTTTTCAGTCCTTCTCCTTAGTGTGGGCTAAAAGGAAGCTAGGATACTGTGTTCTTCCTGAGCATGCTTCCTCGCACTCTCAGCAGGTTCTGGTCTTAAAGAAGTTAATTAGCTTGTTTGGGGACCCAACTGGCTGTCCCCCAGACTCTGATGATGTCAGGGCCCTTCTCGGTCTGTGTGAGTGTGTGACTGGGGGTGGCGTGTGATCTGTCATGGCGAGGATGGGGGGGGCAGTGGAGCAAGGCAGCCCCCAGGAGGAGCAGAACTGCAGTAGCTCCTGATGCAAGATTGGGGGCGTTTAAAGGCACTGGAGCACAAACTCTCCCCTGGGGGGCCACACTGGCCTGCACCTGCTCCACAGCTGAGGATGGAGTTACTGTTCAATTCCCCCTGAAAGGTTTATGATGATGCTCTTCCCAATTTATTTTCTCAGTGCTCAAGAAGCGATTTCAGGATCAGGATATTTTATATTTAAATGTGAAATACGGTGGTGTGCTGGGCTTGTGGAATTGATTACATTATACATAATTTTCCTTGAGATTATAGTGCTGTAGTCAACCGGACAGTTTGGCTTGCTAAAGGCTGGGTCGTCTTTTTTTTTTTAATTGCAATGATGACCACAAAAGTAAGCCAGGATATATTTTAATAGTCTGAACTCATTCTCTTTCTCTTCCACATAGGTAAAGCTGAACGAGTGTCTTATTCTTTTGGGAGAGAGGCAGGGATGCCTGGAATCACTCAGGTGAGGTGTGGCTGATCCTCCAGGATCCTCCAGTACTCACTGGAGTTGTTCCTTGCCATAGGCCTCCGGTATAACTCCCAGCAGCTTTAGGGCAGGCTGCGTCTGCAGTGATGCTGGCATCAAATACGTTGGGACATTCCTGAAATTGCTGTTTTATTAAGAAATGCGAAACTTTGTAAAGTTACTTACAAAAGATTGTTACAAATTCATTACAAAAATTCATTTTTGGGCTTATATGGATGTATATGTAGCCTTTTTTAATCTTACTCCTCTGTGGGGCCTCTCTTGTAATATTATCAACTGTTTTTTCCCTTTGTTTTGATTCGGTCACTGTGCTAATTTTACTTGGCTGGTCTGCCCCAGTTTCCTCCTATTGTGCAGTCAGGGGTTTCCGTCGGCACAGACAGCTGTATGTACTTCTGCTCCTGCCCAGAGTCTCACACGGCACATCCCCACCTCACTGTGAGACCTTCCTGACTGGAGCGTGGCCAGATCGCCCTGCTAAAATAAGACCCATGCCCACCAACAAGCCCCCCATCTCAAAATGGGCAGTGGATGAACCAGAGACCTTATCCAGTTCTCCAAGGGCTGCTCCATTGTTTCTGTCGGACGTCCGGTGTCGGCCATTTGTAACATGAGACAAATGCGAAACTGGCCATTCCAGCTTAGAATGACAGAACAGAAAAGATTTGGAAATTCTATTTTGTTTTAAAAAGGGTGTGCGTATTAATGTCCAGTGGTAAACTTGTTCGATCTCCCCAGACTCAGGGCTGTATGTTTCTGTACGTTTTTGCCTGTGTTCTTCTGTGTGTGTTAGATGCTTATTCCATCTGCTGCAGAACCAGTAGTGTAGAAGCCATTCATTTTATCTGTGTACTATATACCACGTGATTCTTAAACAGACAATTTACTTCAGGTTTAAAATACACTGTAAACTATCTTGATGTGCCTGATAGTAATGTATCCACTGGTTTCAGCCTTAAAAATGGACCATCTGAAGACATTGCCACTTCAAGCACTTTCTGTAAATGTTACACTGCAAGTCATGGACCAGAGTTGCATGCATCTGTGTATCTTTGTGTTGGCTTGATTGTTGGTCTATACCAGTGGGCTCAGTGTTCTCTCTCTCCTCCTCTGCAGGCAAGTTTCCTGCCTGGTGAAATGGCGATGCCTAGTCCTGATGCCCTCTCGCCCTCAGGCATTAAGCCAGGCTCCCAGTTCTACCCCTCATACTCCAACAACCCCCGGAGGCGGCACACGGAGGGCAGTATTGGTAAGGACGAGTGGTACACGCAGGGTCATTTTGTTTTCATATGCAGCAAGTTTAAAGTTTAGTAAAGGAGTTGGTCTGCTACAGTAGGTCCACAGTCATGAATCACAGCGGTTACACTAATGAACCAGTGTTAATCATACTTTTGAGCAAATTAATAGATGCATATCCTCATATGAACATGAAAACTTGTAACGTTTCTTTTTGTTTCCAGATGGCCAACCGAAAAAGATCAGAAAAGTTCCCCCTGGCCTGCCTTCCTCTGTGAGTATTGTCATTAGGATTTGAAATAGTGTTTTCTGTCCTGACCGACTACTGCACTGTACATGTCAGCTGGTTTGTCTTCAGTCTGCTGCGGGGACCAACAGTTAAAGGACTCCAGTGTTTTTTCTTCCCTGAGTTCAGGTCATCCTGCCTATCTCGGCAACACTTCCTCTTCTGAATCGCTTCTAAAAAAACTTCATTTCCTGTATGTAGTGATTTCTTTTTCACATGATCTGTTGAATTCCATCATACTGGAGCTCTGTGACCGTTCCAAAACTTACTAGGGTTTGTGTTCTTAAAAATAATTTTAGACTGCACTCACAAAACTACTAGGATTTCTTGTTGTGTAAAGTGTTACCTGCTATAATATGTCTATTGGAAATAGCTCTCCTTTTCCTCGATCTGCGACAGGCTTGGTATAGCTTTTTTTTTTCCTGGCGTCTTTTTCTCTTCCACTTATTTCTTTGTTTCTTCTCACCACAACTCCTAGATTTCCCTCTCCCAGCCTTTCTGTCTGTACTCCCCTCTCAGCCTCTCCCTCTCCCTCTCCCCCTGCCCCCTCCCTCTCTGTGTTCTCTCTCTCCCCCATCCCCCTCTCCTCAGCTCAGCTCAGCTGCCTGTAGAGTTGGATGAGGTCCAGGGATGGGCAGATGGCTCTGTAATTAGAAGTGCATCTCTCCATTCCCTTTCCACTTCTCCCTGTTTAATCAAATTACAGAAAAAAGTCAATTTGCTGGATTTGCATTCTCTGCTGCTTACGCCGTTTTAATTTTTTTTTCTTCACTCATGCAAATAAAATTTAAAAAATGCAGGAGGGTTTGGGGGTTTTGAGACGGTGTGGAGGCGGGTGTCTAAATGTCTGCTAGTGCGTTTTGGGCCATTTCACATGGTGAGCAGATTTTAAAAGGGTGTCTAGACATTTTGTTTGCGAACCCACAGTCTAAAAGTGTTTACTGGACTTGATTGCCCTTACTTGAAGTCTTTGGTGGGGAAAGGGGGATCCAGGTCTTGGAAAAATTTGATTTCTTTAGGGGAAGTTGTACTTGGAAATTCGCTGCTCCCAGACAGTGAACAAATCCTAATGGACTCAGTCATCACAGCACTATTCTGCAGCTTTAAGCTCTTGCACCAGCAAGTTCTGCTTGCATTTTCCCCAAATAGTTCCTTTTCAAATATGTTAAGCTTGGCATTTCAATGCTGTTTTGCTGTGTCATTGTTTCTTAGTTTGCACTGGTTTTTAAATATCAGCGGTTTATATATTTTGCTGATCCCATCGTCCAGGGTGATGTAGAAGCATCTCCGTTACAGAAACGCAGTGTATTATAAATAAGTACATCCTACAAGTGTAATAAATGAAGTTGAGTCGTTTTTACAGGTCAAAAGTCACCGAGTTGAAAACAACATTGTCAAGTATGTATTGCAAAGACGAGGGTGGGAACAGAAACAAAGTATGTGGAGACATGGGGTAGCAGTACAATAGTCATTAGACACTTTAAATGGTGCGTTCTCTCTGGGCTCGTGTTTCTTTTACTAGCGTGGTGGGCTTCTGATGAAACTGGGACACTGTTTAATTGATGATTCGTGGTGTCGCGTCTTTTGACCCTTCTAAGGTATAAAAGTGTAGCAGTAGCCATTTAGTCCTAAGTGTCTCTTTGCGGCTATTTGAAATAAAATCCTCAATGCACAGAAGTTTGATCCATTGGTGGGTTTATCACCTTTTGATTATAAGCCAGCACAAAGCCCTGGGTGTTTCAGAGCCGTTTTTGTAAACTGGCATGCAGTTAAAATAATATTGTTTATGCTATGTCGAACAATATTATTCTTACTACAGTTTAATATAAACAACTGCTCTGCGGCTTGAAGAACCCGGAATGAGTTTGTGTGCCGTGCAGTGGGGGGCGGATCTGTGTATCCGCTCTCCCCGAGCGAGCCCCCAGCCCCTAGGCAGAAGTGAGGAAGGGCCTGCAACCACCAGTGTGGCTATTTCTGGACCGCGGCCCAGCACGCGGTGTGCCTGTGCCATGTGCTGCGATCTGTAATGCCACTGGTCCTGTTGTGGCAGAGCGGCTGCACGGGCACTGCCAGCCGGCCGGGAGTGTGCTGGGCAGCCAGGGCACTGGGGCTTTCTGTGTTTCCGCTGCTGGGGTTTCCATGTGCGGGCTGAGCAGGAGTCAAGAACGAAGTTCTGTCGTGCGCCAAACAGATCTGTTTACATTTATCCTCGGCTTGGTTTTGCCGCATTTTAAAACGTCTTGTACAAATTGCTTCAGAACATAAAAGTCCACTAAGAGAAAAAGACAGTGAAACAAAATTTCAAGACAAATTAAACTCCTCTCATTTATCATCTTTCCCCTGTGCCTGTCTGTCCTGTAGGTTTATGTCTCAACTTCTGGGGAGGACTATAACCGGGACCCTGCTGGGTATCCGCCTTCTAAGGCTGGGGCTGTATACCCTGGACCCTTTTACATGCAAGGTTAGTCTCCCACTCCTTGGAATGAGTCTGGAGGGAAACCTGAATTATACGTGCCTTGACACTCTTGGACTCTTCATGAATGAGAAGCTGTGAGCATGTGGATCCTGCATTTACATGGCTCCCAGTGATGACTGATTGCCTTTCTTCACCTTGCTGTCTTAGAGGGCCTACACGCGTCGGACCCCTGGGGCTCTTCTGGACCCCTCGGCCAGCCTGGGTACGCCGCCATGCTGGGCAGCTCGACACACATTGGCCAGCCGGGCAACTTCACTGGCATCAACCCACAGGACAGGATGGTCAGTTCTTCCCTCATCTTTCTTCTCCCTCTGTTGCCTGTTGAAATATTCCGGGGTCGGGAAGAAGACCTGTGTTACTCTTCAGCTGTGAAGCCCTTGAGTCTTTGCTTGTGTTAAAACTCTTGAATTGCGTTTTAACTCGTGTGCCAGGACTGTATAGACTGAAAACGTCCCTAATCCAGTGTTTGATTCAGCCTTTCCCTTCCCTTGGCAGAAGCGACAGCCGCTGCCCCCACAGAACTACTCTCTCCATGGCAGCGAGGTGAACGGCAGCCTGCCCTCGGGCTTCCACTCCAGCCCCGCAGGCTACGGGGTCTCCAACCACACGCCCCCCATCAATGGCGCCGACAGTCTTATGGGTACGACACCCACCGCCTCCCCTTTCGCTCCCTGACACACTGAGAGTTTACAGGCCTGGAGCCCACTACTTTCATCCCAGAATAAACCATTGCAATTAACTGGTGTTTTTAAATCATTTAACTAAGTTTAAATTCTTTTTTCCTGTTTGTAATATCTTGCAGGTTATAATTTCAGTGTTTCTGTGTTGCATTTAATGTATAAATACTTTTTTTTGTGATGGGCATCACAAAGTTTAAAAAGTCAGGGTTTTTTTCTTGCCACTGAGGCCCCCAGGACAGTGATGGTCTTCCTCTCCAGTGTCCTAACATCTTGTTTTCCTCTCCCCGACAGGCAACCGGGGTACTACAACAGGGAGCTCCGGGGATGAAATTGGAAAGGCTTTAGCTTCGGTAATGTCTGTTTTCATGTAATGAAGGTGAAAAGAATCTAAGGTCCGTGCAGTACAGTTTAAGGCTATGCGCTGCACCAAGTTGTTTCCAGAGAACGTTTGGTCAGCGAAACAGCTGGGCAGAAACTGGAGATGACACGTCTCTGGAAAAGATGCTGTGGAGTGCACAAGAAAAGTGCAGTGCAGCTTTATCCAGATCCCTAAATTGTAGTCCCTGAATCAGGATCTGCTCCAGTGCAGGGTTTCAGTGTAACCTGCACCAGAAGTGTTGCATTTTTCTGGAGAGGAGGGGCAGCAAGTTGTCCTGCTCTAACCCACAACCCTTTAGCCAGTCCAGAGAGCAGACAAGAACAGTATTTTGTGCTCTTGTCATCTGCTCTCTGTCTAGTCTGTTCAAGAGGCTTTATTGGCATGACCAATGAGTAAATCAGTGTTGCCAAAGCAATACAAATACAATTAACAGAAAATCTACAGATATTTACAGGAATTATACAATACAGATATCTAAATACAGTCTCATGTAAACATATGGAGCATTATTGAGAGACAGGCTCACTGTTTCTCAGGCTGTGACAAGAGATCACATACTAGGCTGCCAGTTCAACTGAGTTCCCTCCTCCCTCTCCCAGTAGGATTGGGAGTTGTGATTCTGGTAGGAGTGGGAATTCTGCAAATAGATTTGTAAACTTTGGGGAATAATGTTTCTCTAATCCTAGAATATTTGTTGCAGCACATCTGTGACTGTCTTTCATCCCTCTGTTGCTTTTCAGATCTACCCCTCTGACCACAACAGCAGCAACTTTCCTTCCACCCCCTCCACACCTGTCGGCTCTCCCCAGGGCATCGCGGGTAAGCACGTTGGCTATACCAGCCTGTTCACCAGCTGAAGTAGTTGTTAACCAGTTGAAGCAAACTCTTTAAGCTATGTTTGTATCTGAAGTTGTCATCTCCCTGTCTCTGTGCATGGAGCAGGAGCAGCACAAGACTGGATCTTTCCATTCTCCAGGCCAGTCTGTCCAGCAGCTGTTATGCTCTTGTATTATGGGCAGTGAAAGCTCCATTTTGTATCGACAATGTAAATGATTGTTGAACACGGAGATTGATGCCATGTATTTCCTGTTGCAATGCCTCTTACGGTGGATGCTAGTCACTATTTCTTAATCATGAGTCTTGTAGCAGTACTGTTGCTGAGCTTTTCAATTTGGATGTGATGCAGTTTGATCACTTGAGATAATGTGGCTTTACAGCGCCACCTGCTGCCGGAAAATAATTACGTCCTTTAAAATTCAAACATTAATCCCTGATAAATATCTGTATTTCTAATCTGTAAACAGGTTCTGGACAATAGGATGTCTATAGAAAATAAGAGAATCTAAGAAATGCTCTAAAATGATTCAGTTGTATGGCATAAAGCTCTCCAAACTGTTTTTCTCTCTTCTTTCTTTATCATATGTATGACTGATGTTTCCTGTTTTTGTTTTAGTTTGAAATGGGTTTCTGGTTCACTGCATTTTGTTTTTGATGCCTGTGTCAAATGCATGGCTGATCTGTAGGGCAACATGTTGTATTCTGTCCTGTACAGGAACTGCATCTCAGTGGCCCAGACCTGCTGGACAGGCTGCCCTGTCGCCCAGTTACGAAGGTGGCATGCATGTGCTGGTAAGCTGTGTGTTCAAGAGGTGTCACGGAGTTCATAGAAGCAGTTTTAAAATTTGACAAAAGACAAATTCTTTTCTTAGTATAATTCTCTCCAAAGTTTTTATGTTGAAACTGTAAGCAGAGTTTCCCTTTGTCTTTAAATTCTGTTGGGAACATCAGGCAGCCTTCTGTGAGGTCTAACCACAGAGTAGGCTTCATTTCAGGCATCACAAGTTCTACACCAAAGAACACAACTGCTGAAGCATTGTGAATGCAGCCCTGTTTTCTTTCTCCAAGACGTCCGTTTGTGAGCGTGTTGGGTTTGGCAGGGATAGTGTCTGTTGGCTTCAGATCGCTCGACCTCCTGGTAATACAGTGAGGGGGGTGTCCCCATCATTCAAATCCTTTCCCCCCCCCCCCCGTTCTCCCCTGTCCAGCAGAACAAGATGGAGGACCGTCTGGAGGAGGCGATCCATGTGATGCGCAGTCATGCTGTGGGCCAGGCAGGGGCTCATTCGGATGTGCACAGCCTGTTGAGCGCTGCCACATCTGTGCACAATGGCGGTGTCGGGGGACTGGCTCAGGCTTTCTCCAGCGCTGGGCTGTCACTAAGCAACAGGCACGCTGCCATGGTGAGAGAGACCTGTCAGCGGTGCTGCACTCCCCTTTGTGTTCCAAGTCGGACTTGCACTTTGTCAGGTTTCAACTTGCTGTGGCATACCTGGGACTCCCTTTCTTTCACCTTTTGTTGGCTGGTGTAACGGTAGCAAAGTGATATAAGGGTTTCAGTTCAGCATGTTTTCTCAGTCTCTTTAAATCATGTTGAACATGAATGAAATGTATAAGTAGACTATTAGTTCCAGCTATGCCTAAATTAAAACCATCTGATCTGTTGTGTTTAGGAGAAAACATTCTGATGCACAGCTCTGTGGTACTGGCCATAGTCGTCGGCCACGCGATTATACAGTGAGCAGAACTCCAGTTTAAATTTGTATGGGGTGTTTTGTGCCAGTTGAATATATCCTTTTCCCTCCGCCCAGCAGGTAGGGAGTCACCACGAGGAGGCTGCTGGCCTGCCGCCCAGCACTACGCTCCTGCACAGCCATCACGTCTCTCTCCCAGCGCAGTCGGGCGCACCCTCCGACCTCAGCCGGCTCCCGGAGGGCTTCACCAGTCAGTACCCCTGCCTTTGTTTTTTAGGAGCGAGCAGTATTGATTAACCAGCAAGCACAAAGCGAGACAAACAGCTGGCCTGATATCCTAGAGGTGTGCCAGTGCTGTCAGAAAACGAGCATTTCTTCTGTTGGTGTTGCTGTCAGCTTCGAGCTCTTGCTCTTAGACTTGACAAAACCTGCTTGTATGAACCCCATCCTTATGGTTGCTCTGTTGATATCCATGTTCTCATGTACAAGTAATCTTTTAGAGAGAATGTTGAAGCATGGATATTGAATATCGGAGTTCGACGTTATTTTGCTATCGAAAAGAGCAGGTTTCAATATGCAGTGTAAAATATTGCACTGTTTGACTGGTACTTGTTTAGTGTGGAAGTCAGTTTTTGCACCTGTGCTGCTGTGTTTGCCTGCACTGGATATTGTGCTACATTATTCCATTACTTGACTAGTTTAGGTGCTCTATTACCCTGCTTGTTGGGTATTGGTTTAAAAGGAGGGCTGGTCTCTTCACTATCTGCTTGATGGGCACCAAGTGCATGTTACTGTCTCCCTCTGCAGGCCTGTCAGCGGGTATCACTCGCTCCACGCTCTCCTCCAGCAGCTCAGACATCAAGAGGGAGGACAAGGAGGACGATGAGAACTCGTCCATCGCGGACAAGTCGGAGGATGAGAAGAAGGAGCAGAAGGCTTCCCGCACGAGAACCAGGTGGCTCATTCACTCCGGTGCCCGCGCTGCAGCCTGGGCACCTTGTCTTACACTCCAGGGCATTTTACACTTGCTTTAATGAGAACGGCTCTAGTGCCACATTTGTTCGGCTTTTTCTGAATGTTATTGTAAAATGTGCAGCTGTGACGTAGCCACAAACGAAGAGCACACTGTCATCCATGTTTTTTTTGCACTTGAATAGTTTAAGAAAATTAGTTGTGGAATAAAATGAGCACGTTTTGCATTTAGTCAGTCTGCCAGGACTGCTCACAAATGACATGACTGTTTGTTCATGTCTGAATATTTATCGTACAAAGCTGGAGAGCCAGTGGTTACAGAAGAATAACTTAAATGAAACTAAGCAGCGAGACTAGAAATTGAGCGGAAAGTTAGGCTGGTCAGCTGTTTAACTGGGGTGGACAGCACAGTGCTGGCCCAAGGCATGACCCACTAGGTGGATTATGAGTGTAAGCAGTCTGTTACATGTGGTCTGTGCTGATCCAGTCTTGGCTGGCAGCCGTGCCACTAACTAGCCCTCGGTGGCCGGTGGCATCTCTCTCAGGGCCTGATTGTCATCTTGCTCCCCATTGTCTCGCATTGTTTTCAGAAAAGAGACGTTTTCCTTCCAGACCTCCTCAGGCCTTTCAGACCAGGGACTGGAGTAAGTTTTCTTCACCCACTCGCATGCAGAGGAGAAGGAGGGCTCTGGGTAGCTGGTTAATTACCTGTGGAAGTGAATGTAGCTTTGTGTGTTTGTATATGGAACCCTGCCATGTGTCAAAACACTTGATGCAGAATAACTGCGCCAAGATTTGCATCTGCTTTAGTTTGATCTTTTGGACAGAAGCACTTAAAATAATTCAGTTTTAGTCTTCCCATCTTACTGTATGTGGGATAAATATAAGGCATGGTTTCTGCAGGAGAAAGAATTAAAAGTTCTCCAGCCAGAGTTTTGTACATCAGCCAGACAGAAGAGTATAAGTAGACAGCAGGATTCTTGAAGCTTGAAGTGTTTTGATTTTTATAAGCAACAACACTATTTTTGTAACTCAAGCTCAGATAAGAGGAGACTCGCGCGGTAGGACAAACAAGTGTTCCTCACACACCGAGTGCGCCGTATAGCCCAGGAGGTCTAACTGCATTCGCTCCAACAGCATGGCCATTGGAGCTGCTCCAGAATTCGGTCTGGCAGAGGGGATCGAAGTGGGCTGAAAGCAGATTGTGTAGGCCCGGATTTTGCCGTTTTGACTGTTCAGGGGACAGTATACGCGGAGTAAAGGGGACTATCCCTGGGTTTTGTTTTTGTTTAAAAATTTCTGGTGCATGTCCTGAGTTGCTGTGAATGGTTTTCTTTCTCCTTGTGGTGGAAATTCCTTGACTGCGTCATCGAGAGAGAGTGTGTGTGTGTGTGTGGGGGTTGGTGTTTTTTGAGGGTCATTCTCCCTGTTTCTCTGTCCCGAACCGTTAGCCAAGATGAGGAGGATGAGGAAGACCTACCCATAGAGCTCAAGGCGGAGAGGGAGAAAGAGCGGCGGGTTGCTAATAACGCCCGTGAGCGGCTGCGGGTCCGAGACATCAACGAGGCCTTTAAAGAGCTGGGGCGCATGTGCCAGCTGCACCTCAGCAACGACAAACCTCAGACCAAACTGCTCATTCTGCACCAGGCCGTTAACGTAATTCTCAACCTGGAGCAACAAGTCCGAGGTCAGTGTGGGGGTCGCGAGAGAGTGGGGCTCTTCCTCTCCTGGGGGTGTTATGCAACAGACATTGACACACAACGGACAGGTGGTTCAGATGTAATCAAAGTGGCATGGGGCTGTCTGCACTGTGTAAGTCGTACATACTCGCTGCATGTTTCTTTCTGCCTCACCCCAGCACACCTTCACTCTCTGGGCTCCTGCACAGCACTGTGCTCTAACTTGCAGCTGTTTCAAGGCAAGGCGCACTTTATACCGCTACACAGAGCAGAGAAAGAGGGGGACAGGTTTTGGTTATGGTCCCAGCTATCAGGAGAGCTAGCGACTGTCAATAACAGTTGATGAATGTCCATAGACATAGAGGAGCTCTGTTAGCAAAGATTGTTTTCCTGGCTCTCCTCTTTGCATTTCTCTGTATCCACTGTCTTGATTTGGCTTAATTCAGTGAACCTGCTAAATACGTTTGTTTAGCTCAGATTCAGTCAGCCATTGAATGTTTAAGTGGTTCTGGGGTTGTGCCCTGTACCTGCAGGTAAGTTATTCCAGGGGGGCATTCTGGGTCCTAATTCCTTCCATGTTAAATCCTCTCGGATGTGTTAAGAGCAGCCCCCAAGCCTTTGGGCTTTGCAGTTAATTTTGCCTGCTCTCATGTTAAGTGTCCTATCTTTATCCATATGCCTGAAACCCTCTCTCCTGTTCTGTGTGGTTGACCCCTGAGGCTAGGTGTGCATGTCTTCACTCCTGTCTCTCCCTGTCTGTGTCCCCCCTCTCGGGATGAAGCGCTCTTCCCTGCCGTCTCGTGTGCAGGGGCTTAGGGAGCGAGGTGAATGGGGTCAAGGTTGAATTCTGCTTTTAACCTAATTTCTCCATCGTGCCTCAAATGTATTAACTTCATTCCTTGTTTTATTTCAGCGGTTTTTGTTTTTCGCTGTTGTCGCTGCTTGTGTTTGCAGTGCTCTGTGTGCCCTGCTTAGTTCTCATTTGTAGCTGCCTCCAAAGCGGCCCTTGGCCATTTTCACCAATCCTCCCTCCATTCCTCTTATGTTGTATTTTTTTATTTCCTTCTTTTTTCCTTTGCAGATGTCAGCACTGAAAACATGTCAGACTTGAAAGTGTGTTGATGTGTTGTAAGATGGGTTTCAAGTCCGCGTTCAGCTCTGCCCCTTTCCTTTCCGTCCGTTTCTCCTAGCTTCAAGCTTTGTAACGCCTCTTTGTGAGTCTGCCTTCCATATCTGGCAGGGGGTATTTCTCTTCTTTCTTTCGCTCTCTCTCTCTCTCTCGGACAGTCCCCCATCGCCCTCTCACCCCCTCCAGCGACTCCCACTCTCGACCTCACTGCTTGCTGTAGGTGTGTAAAATCTCCCCATCGCACTTCCTTGTCCCCGACGAGAGACTGGCCAACCAGATCCCGGGGCCTGACTCAGCCGAAATGGTTTCCAGCATCTAAAGAAAGAATAGAAGGATCCAAATAAGAAAAATAAAATGAAGAGGTTTTATTGAGTTTTAAATTCATCCATCATGTGGATAAGAGCTCAATTATGTAGACCAGCCTCTGACAGCGAAGTGAATGACAATAGTGCCTTCAGTCTATGTGCAATTTCAACAATTTTTCAGAAATGTTTTGTCGGTGCCCTCAAGTTTTTATATTTCATTTGACGTAAAGCTGCTGTTCTTGTGTTTTTGACATTACTGTCTCGTATGTGTTGCGTAGTCCCGCAGACTGCAAGAAGAAAAATTGAAAATGAATCGGACTTAATTGCACTGCTCTAAAATAGTTGCTGCAAGAATATGAAAAGAAAATTTAAAGATCGGTTATCCCCAATATGAAGGTTTGTCCTAATCTCCAATATAAAAAAAACTGGATTTAGGCTCAGTGGGGTTGTTCTGTTGAGCATGCTATTTTAATATTTAATTCTCTATAAAACCTCTTACAAAAGGCTACAACAGTCAAAGCTATAGAACCACACCATGGTACTCGTGCATCAGTCTGATCTCCGAGCGTGAACACTGGCCGGCATGGTTTTGGGTCCAATCATGGGTCTCTCGTTACTCTGGCCTCGGAAACCCGCAGTCCTGCCCCGCTCTCTCTGCGTCTCTGAAAAACCCAGCTCCGCGGTCTGAAGGTCTTCCCTGTGTCTCCCACTAAGGCAGCAGTCTGCTCCGTCGGTCTGTTAGTGCTGCTGCCAGCAGGTTCTGGGTCTCGATATGACTAGCCCCCTGGCTTTCTGCTCTGTTTTTGTGGATGGGTGCTGGAGCCTTGTTCTCCACCTTCTTAACAGGGAATTTCAATGGGATGAAATTCCTCTGATATCTGCTGTCCTTAGTTCATGGCCTGGAAAGCTACAATCCAGCAGAATTTTTAAGAACCTCGTGATCGTTGGAGGAGACTTAAACTGCTCCAGTTAAAGTGGACTGGAATTGAAGGATTCCAATGTTACAGCAGTCCTCTCTGTGAGAATTGATGGAGTCTAAGTGTACATTTAACTCATCTCAGTAACTTAATTAAAACTTTGCCAAGAAATGCAATTCCCTTAAAACACTTCTCTTAAATATCATTGTCTCCTCCAGTTATGTGAGCTATGTAAAGCTATGGCTCCTGGGCATGTCCATTTTTCTCTCTCTTCTTACCGATTGTTGATACATGCTGCAAATCCCTCTAGGGCTGGACCCTCCACCCTGCAGCCCAGACAGACAGGCAGACTGTGCCTTACTTGGCTAAGGGCAGACTGTGCCCGACAGCTGAGAATGAAGCAGGAGAGTGAGGGACAGTCACAGCAGTTCTGTCCTCCTCCTCTCGTGCTGTTCGGACTTTGTGGTTTCCAGCACTCTGCAGCTCCCAGCTAAGCAAGAGATCAGCGGTTGAGGTCCACTTCGTAATCCTCTCCAGTCTAAATTGCAGTCATTGTCTTTGGGCTGTAGCATATGGTTCTCATCCAGGTGCAACAGTATGAAGTTTTTACATGTCTGATGTATGAGGTGTTGGATTTATGCTTTACAACTTTCAAAGCAGTCTTCAGAAAAACTCTGCACTGGAGGTGATTGCAAGAATAATGATGAGTTTTGAGTTCCCTCTTGGGCTCATTGTCCTGTGCAGCTGGCTTTTACTCCACATTCTACTCTTTCTTACTTAATAGTCTGCTAATTTAAATTATGTGCTCAGTTGCATTTTTAGTTAATGCCTCAAATTCTTCTAAAGGCTATTTAACACCTCTAACTTTTGACATTAAGGCTGTTAAATGCTATAAATGATTAAGAGGAAAAGTAGATTTGGAAGGTCTGGTGGAAGATTGGTTGGGGGGGGATTCTCTTTCCATTTAATTGTCATGCTTCATCAGAAACGGCTTCATTTAAGTGACGTAGTGCTTAAATAGAGTGGGGTATATCTGCTCCAGCCAGAATATCCCTCAGAACATTCTTTTAGTGGCAGGCTGGGGCAATCAAGGCCACTTTCTGAGCCCCAAGTCCAAGCAAGTGATAGCTTCTGACCTGCCCGCGCTTTTCATACGGGACTTGATAGCTTTGCTCCTACTGATCCGATGGTGCCCGAGACTGGCGTGCGCGGTGTGCACAGCACAGTGCTGCTGGTCGGCACGACGGATATCCAGGTCTGAGCCCTCTGGCGCAGCACTCGGTTCGTATCGCCAGCTTTGGGAGCTGCAGTTTGCTGGAAAGATGTGACACCTACCGGAAACATCCCTGGGTTTTATGAATTGAATTAATGCCCAACCCCCTCCCCTCAATCAATCCTCCCACCCCCGGCAGCAGCACGACGGAGGAGGGCCTAACGGCGGAGGAGAAGGAGCTGCGGGACCGCGAGCGGCGCATGGCCAATAACGCGCGGGAACGGGTGCGCGTGCGCGACATTAACGAGGCCTTCAGGGAGCTGGGCCGCATGTGCCAGGTGCACCTGAAGACCGACAAGGCCCAAACCAAACTGATCATCCTGCAGCAGGCAGTACAGGTCATCCTGGGGCTGGAGAAGCAGGTGCGAGGTAGGGCTCCTGTCCACCGCCACTGGGGGGCGGTAGAGTGCTGACAACTCTGCCTGCATTACTGTCTGGGCCTGGAGAGCTCTGCCTTGCTTTGTGCTGGGAGTGTGCTGAGGGTTTGTGTGCTGTGCTTTGCTGCAGCTCTCTTCCTGTAATAACCCTTTCTGTTGCTTGTTCTCTCCATCCTTTGTCCTGCACAAGTAAGCCCCATGCCATTTGATTGTCAGATGTTGCAATTTACATTGTAAGGGTATGTTTTATTTATTTTTTTCCAATGTGGACTCCACCCAACCACACATCCTTTCCTCCATCCTAAACCTTTTTTGATTCCTTTTGTTTTTTTTCCTGTTACAAAGGCCACATCTACACAGTCAGAATTAGAAATATTTTAGACCTAAACATTCACTGGCAGGATTACTATTAAAAGCGTAGTCGTCGAAGGACTATCAGTTTACTGGCAACAATAGAAATAAGCTGAGCTGGGTAACATTTTTCACTTGGTTAACTGTCCATTTTTAAGCTTATGTGCCAAGCTATTTGCAAGAGAACTGTAGTTCCTATATTGTAATATAGATCACCCAATTAAGTTTAAGTTTAAAATAAAAAGAGCACTCAGTCAGTATTGATGTGCAAAGTTCTGGACGTTAACATGAGTCATGCGTTTTTGCCAACTAATCTTCATATCCTGGAGGACTCTGCAAACCTGAGCCTGATGGAGCTTCTCTGCCTTGCTAGTCAGTTTGACCAGTCCATGAAACTCATAAACCTCTCTGCTTCACCCCCTCAGAACGTAACCTGAACCCCAAAGCAGCCTGTCTCAAGCGCAGGGAGGAGGAGAAGGTGTCGGGGGTAGTAGGGGATCCCCAGATGCAGCTAGCAGGGGGACACCCTGGACTTGGGGGTGAGGGGCACAACCCTGTCAGTCATATGTAACACCCAGGTGAGTGGCGCTTTGAAACTCGTGTGCTGAACCATTCAGTCCCAAGTGTCCACTTGATGGCCTGCAGGAGCCTCTTGTTTGTTCAGCTGCTTGAGTTTTTCAGAACCTCTGTAAAATATTTTTTAAATTTTGAATTCATCTGTTCATCATATACAGGAGCCTGTAGCCCATAATCAGCCCCAAACTAGATCACACTGCTGTGCAGCGGGGTTCTGATGCAGTTCCTCCATGACAGGCTGCAGTGTCTGCCTCTCGGTTCCAGGGCTGCTCTTAATGAGCTCATGGAGTTGATCTGGGGATTATTTGACACTTTTCAGATGTTCTTCAGTATCTGATGATTTAAAGAGACCAAGAAAACCTGATGCAAAGTCTTTGTCTGATCTTTCAGATCCTGTGGAGTTTCCAGGGCTCTCAGAAGATGTGGCCTTATATTATTCTTCCATCATTCTCCTCTGCGTGTTTGTGTTTGTACACCTGTTTGAGACGCACAGAGACATGCACACACCCCCCAACACACGTTCTGCCAAAACTGACAGCCAATTTGTCCGCACTCCTGACCGTGACTTACCAGCGCAAATGTGAAGACAACTTGTTTCCTCGTTTTTTTTATGTGTAAACATGTATTGGCTTCCATAATCCTATGGAACAGTGGAAAAAGTGTCCCATCAATGAACTCAACCTTTCACTGCCGAGAAACATGAGTATGGATTTGTGCCTAATCCTCACAATTTTTTTTATGATTTGTTAGAGAAACGGACTTAAATATTTGGAACAAAATCATTTTTTTTCACATGGAAAAAACTTGTCAGATGGTTGTAAACCCTAAGTTTTACATACTTTTTTGTTGCATTCCCAGCAGAAATCTTATTTTGGTTCTGAAATGGATCCTTCCCACCCCTCTAACGGATTGAGGATATCAGTGAGGAGACTGAGACACTAACCTCTGATTCTTGGTGCTCAGGGAGAGGTGAGGGGAAAAGCCCCACCTTCCTTATCCGTCTCTCTCTGGTTCCTGGGATTGAGACAATTTTATAGATTATTTTTTTGTTTAGAAGTAGTAGTTTTGGTTAATCCCAGCAATTCTGTACCCTGATTTTCTGCAGCTCTGGCTGCTGCTGTGCTCTGGACGTTGCCCTTTGCGAAGTGGAGTTCTTGTCGGGGAATACGAGGGCTGGGGGAGGACTACAGTTCCAGAGTTCACTCCAGAATCATGCTAGTGGAGCACCATAGAGACAGTCCTGGTCAAGAGTGCTGTTGTAAAGTACACTGTTACACCAGCCAGACTCCTTGACCTCCCAGTGCTCCCTCTTGCCCTGCCACGCGTTTGGAAAGATCTCCTCAAACTCATGGCCCATCCCAGCTCTTTACTGCACAAGAGGAGGAGAATGGCTAAGGATCTGGAGGTGTCTACAGCTCTCATCTGACCCGTCTTTGGATCTCGGACCAACTCGAATTGCCAGCTACACTTGTGCCTCCCACTGTCTTTGTGCAGGGACAGAGTTGTGCTCAGTTGGCGTCTGCCTTGATACTTTTTCAGCGAGCCGCCAGTGAAGAGAAGATTTAACCTCAGCCTTCTTGTGCAGATGTAATTTTTGGATTTGTGCCCCAGTGAGAGATGAGAGGCAGGCATGAGGTCGGTGCCACTCTCATTCGGGGCTGGAATGGAGACTGCAAATTTCATGTGGCTGGAGATGTTTTTTTTTTCCCTTGGTACTGTCAGTTTGCCCCTCGGCTCTGGAGCCGCTGCAGGCCAGGCTACGTGGACCGACGCTGGTGCCAACGCTTGCTCCCAAGCTTTGGTCAAGGAAAAAGGGATTTGACGAGGGCAGACGTTTTGTTCATTGCCTCTGGATACTGTTGGAAACTAAAATCGGTGGAGATCTAGAAAGAGTTGAAATATTAGAAACCCCCTCACACACAAACAGGAGCAGACATTTGGGATGGACTAAAAACTGCCATTTTTGCATCTAGGGTAATTTCGACTAAAACCGAATTGCAATGCAAACAAAACTTTCCTTCCTCCTCCTCCTCCCCCCTTCCTTCCCTCTGACCTCTCTGCCCCTAACCAGTGTGCTGGGTCTTGTTCAGCCATTTCAGTTCACTTCCTTGAGATCGGGTTTCCAAGACTGAACATTGTGCATTTCGGAAACAACAGCAGAACGGGAGCTGATATGTCAAGTCGAGCTCATAAGTGCATAACTTGGGAACGTTATTTTATGTAACATGAGCAAAGAAAAAAAATATATTTTTTATTAGACTATACAGTGTAGATTTTTTAAAAATAAAGTTAGTAGCAGGACATATAGAGTGTATTGTAGTAAAAGCTAAGAAGTTGAAACAAATGAATTCTTAATTCTACAGACTGTCATAAGATGGACAGTCGTATCTTTTTTTTAAAGAAACTGGTTTTGTGTACAAGTGTATAGGCTGTGTGTGTGGGGGGGTTAGGGGTAATCGGACCTCTTGTGGTGAAGCTGACAGGAACCTTAAAATGCACAACCTTGAAGGAACAGCACAGCTTGTGTTATTGAAACAGGCCATCAGACTAGTTACTTGCTTGGGGTCCTTTTTTTAAATTCCGATCTCTGGTGTGGACTTTCCCAGTTATTTGGGGTTCTGTGATCATGATCAGTGGGGGGTGGGTGAGCCTTAAGATAATTTTACAACCGCTTTCTTTTTCAGAATGCTGGAAATGTAGTATTAAGTTGAAATTAATAGAAAAAATGACATTTTCACTTAGTCTGTAATGTTTTAAGGAAGTGAACTTGGTTTAAATGCAGCCACATTTTATCAACTGAATCTGACCTTTTCAGATTTTAGACTTAAAGTAACACATTAAAAACAGGTGCTAAATCAGTTATTTTTTCAGGTTTGTATGTATAGATACAACACTGCATCTATACATCTATATACAATCTCACAGAGATTGAGTTTAATCCAGTCTAGGATGACTGAATTGTATTCGATCAATTAGCAGTGCTGCTGGAAATCACTGGAAGCAATAAGGATTAGTTAGAACAGGATAAACAGGGAGATCTGGTGTCCTGGATGCCACACTTCCCAAATCTGGCCTAGATGCCCTTGGTATGTTCTGTTCAGTATTGACTTTGAATCCTGGTTTGTCAGTATTAGCACCCACCCACCCCCCACAGTAGAACACACTGCCATGCTTTCACCTTTTACTGAGTTTTCTTTGGTATCACAGCAGCTAAATTACTGTGGCTTAGGCTGGGGGGAAAAAAAAGTCACTCATTTAGACTAAACTCATTTGCAACCTTTCTTGCATGAACTACAGTTCAGCCTCCATGCGATTATTATTGGATCGAGTGTTCCGACAGCGTTTGGGTGGTCTGGAGAGGGTGGGGGGGGGGGGTCCTTCGGCTGTGCTCCCGCAGTGCCCGCCGGCTTGCAGCACTGTCGCTTCACCACAGGGGTCCTGTCCGCTCCGCCGGTCACCTGCTGACCGCCGTGAGGAGCAGTCCTACGCTCTAGAAAGTGTTATTTTTTTTAAAGACAAAAATAATTTAAAATAAAAGCAATAGTGTGGCCTTTTCATTCTCGAGTCTTCTGACGTCATGATAGGAGAGTGATACCTCACCAGTGCCTGACTTCTCAATCTCCTTTTTAAACTTGAGATGTGTTTTGGTTGTTATTTTGTATTGAAGTAAGCCGTGTCCTGCCATGTGGTGCAGCCTACCCTGTGAAATGGTGTGTAAAAGGTGGGTAGAAGGAAGTGGAAGATTTGAAAAATTGGGCATCTTTTTAAAGCATTCGTTTTTTTTAATACCAACATTGAAAGGAAGATGACAACGCTCGAGTAAGAATGTTATTGGTTTTGTAGGTTTTTATTTTTTGTATTCAGCTCCGGATTTGAGTTTTCCCTGCTACTAAGGGGATGCACTTGTCCTTGGCGGCCTGTGCAGCCGACAGCGCTGTCCCCCAGCCCCAGGAGAGCAGCCCGCTGTGCGCCCTCTCCTCTCGCGCCCCAGGCTGGGCCGCAGTGCATCGCCTGCTTTCATCTCAAGCTCTTCCCCACTTGTTGTCAACAGTATTTCTCACTTCCACAATGTTTACATCCTGCAGACTGTACCTGCAGCATTTCAACAGGATAGATATCGTTTCCTGGAGTTCCCCCACCCCAATCTTCAGCTTGTCGTTTTTGAGTTTCCTGACCAAACTTTTACTCTCAAACTGGCTTCCGGGACGAGAGCCCTATTGAGCACATCAGAATGCGGTTTCGCATGGTTACAGAAAAAGGAAAATGTGTTATGGTTTATAATTTTGTTTTGATTAAAACTACAAAATGGTCAAGTAAAAAAAACATTTCAATTATCTTTGCAATTATCTGCAAACAAGCAACTGGTGAAAGTAATCTTGACCTGGACAGAGGTATTTCAGAATTTTCTTCTGAATGTATGGATATTTTTTTCTTTCAAAACCCTTTTTAATGACAGCATGAAATATCTTAAGGTATTGTTTTGCCTAGTTTCGAGATTAAAAGTTTGGATATTACCGAAATGTGGGAGTATTGCAGACGTTCTTGGCTGATGTCATTCGCACATCAATCAAGAGGCAGCACAAGTAGGACCGTGGGTCGTGGGGTGCGGGGACGTCACAGACTCCGCCTGTACCCCCTCTTCTCAGCAGACCCTGGCGCCTCCAGCTCTCGTGTTATGGGGGACACACCTACAGTCTGCTGCTGTTCTCAGAGTGCCTCCAGTCCCAGACTTTTTATTTTTTATATATAAAGTAGCTATTGAGATCTGTCCTGTATATAACAGTAATGTAGCAATAAATGTGCCATTTTTAATAACAGAAATATACCTTTTTTTCCAATGTCTGTCTTTTGAAACTTGTATACTTAAAAGTTGAAAGAAAAAAAACTTGTAATAAAGGTTTTACTTTAACCTGAGAATTGTGGAACCTGTGATTGTTGTTGCATCAGATCTTAGTTTGCTTTCTACGGGGTGTCCGACAGCACAAGAGCAGCGATTCCAGTGACTCATCGAGCTTGAAGGCTCACATTCACTTGCGTTAGAGGGTTTGGAAACTTTCTTGTAGATCCACGAGTTACTGTATCGTACTCCGAAGAAAAGACCATTCCACATTTTATAGCACTCCGCTCGTTTCTCACGACTGTCCGTCTTCGAGGTTGCTCTACATCTCGCACATAAATAGGATCTGGGCTGTTGTAAAGGTTTTGTTGCCCGTTTCCTTTCAGTCGGATCCTCAGCTCAGACTCCTGTTGGCAGGGGTTCTGTCCAGTGTTCATGTGGCCCGTCCCAAACTATTAACGCCAAGAAGGATTTCCGAACCGCTTCAGGGTCAGTTCCGCCGGGTGGCCCGAGTTTGTAAATGATTGTAGTAGTCGATTTTGCACCGTGTCTTAGTTTGTTCTTAACTTCCGTTTGTATGCTTTACTGCTTTCAGTAGGAATTATCCTAACATGTAACAGCTCCACCTCTGCAGGATGCATTTTCCTTACTGTTCTTAGTCCAGTCAGAAATGGAAGCAGACACTCGTGTACAGCATACCGCCTCGGAGCTAGTGCAGTACGGCCAGCACTATTACATGCTGTCGGCAGAGGGCGCAGTTTGCTTACGTATTGAGTAGAAATCTACAGACGGCTTCTAATGTCTACAGTGTTGTTATAACAATCTTAAAGTATAGTACTGATTAAAGCTCACAGATTCTTGTCAGAGTTTGAGTGAGCTCTAAAAAAACAACCATTCGAGGCGGAACGCTAGTCCGTTCACACCGAGGAGTTATTTCGGGACGGGAATGAATCTCGGCAGCGTGTGAGATTAAACCAAGGACACCCAGTGAAGACGCACGAACACGCAGACTCCTTCCACAGATGCGAATCGAATCCAGCACTGCAACGGGTCGAGACAATAAATAACCGCGCTCTAAACAGTTTAATTTAAGAAAATACATTTACAAAATGTGGAATTTTAAAGCGTTCTTAATTTGTCTCGTTTACTTCGTTTTTTCATGTACTGTACCATTTTTTATCATATCATTTTTGAATCGAATTTTTACCCATGAAAATAAAAGGCAATACTATAGACAGCAACTACAACAACAACAACAACAACAACAACAACAATTATAATAATACAGCGCTTTTAAGACTGGCTTTTCAAAGCGCTTTGAAAGCCACATTACTTTAGAATTGCTGGAACCCAAATATGGAGTTTAAAGTTATCTTTTGAAAGGGTTTTAATGACAGACTTACCATGTTTTAGAGAATTTGCACTTACACAACGGGTACACAAAGGTGCAGTTGTTAGTTGTTAAAGAATGAACTCTCGAGATAAACACAGCCAACGTACAACGTTATTTGTCTTTTTTATATTTATTCCAACAAGGAAGCGCCTGGAGACGTTGGACACAGCATGTGAAGATCTGGTATCATGCAGTCGTACACAGCCCAGAGGAGAATACTGCGTGATTACTAGTGTGATCCGGTATCTTACACTTACAATTATATATTTTATACAGATTAATATGTATTTCTTTCAAAAGAATTGAAAATAGAACATTTATGGAGAAGGAATCTGGTCCGTAAAATACGTTTATCGCATATTTTTATTAAAGGTTGTGATCTCAGACCAAACAACCTAAATTTCCTTTCAACGTTAAGATTCGCCCTGTGCTTTAAACTAGTCCAGATAATTTAGGGTAATAATAGTTCCAACATAAATTAATGAGTGTTTTAAAGAATTCGTTTTAAATAGACGAAGGAAACAAAAAGGTCCGGCCAGTTTTTTTCTTTTCATATCATGAACACTTGAGATCTGTCCTGATCTGTGCCTGTGAAAAAAATATTTACATTTTGGAAAAAAAATAAATCGAACGAGTTTAATTCATAAATATACTTTGGTTGCAATTAAGCTGTTTTTTTAAATAAATTAAAGAGCGAAATCGATCGTTGTCTTCAGGCGCTGCTGAAGACGGCCCTCGGGGTCCTCAGGCCGCCATTTAAGGCATGCGCGAGGGACAGCGGAAGGTCAGCGCTAGAAATGCTCGGCAAGCTCGTCGGACAGAGATACGTCCAGATCGCCAAGTCCTGGTAAGGTCGGAGCTTTGCGTGGGGAGGGGGACCAGGGTTTGTGTTCATGGCCTCGGGGGGTTCTGCGGTCCCGAGATGAGCGCGGTGTCTCCTCCGTCCTGCGAGCCGGGGTCGCTCGCTGACCCGGGGCAGGGAGCGCCGTGGCCGGGCCGCCGCCGCCGCCTACAGCCGCTGCAGGAGCGGCACCGCGGTCTTCTTGTGGGGAAAAACACGCGAAACAAGTCCACGGCCAGGGGAGGTGCGTGTGTCGCGCTCACCAGTGCTAGTGTTTTGCTGATATTTCAGAGTTCCCTGGAGCTGTCTGGCGTGTGATTATCTGGCCTTTGCGGGCTTGTAAAAAAAAACAGTTTTTATATATATATAGGACGTTACACACGAGGATGCTATTTTGTGGTTAAAAACGTATTGATGCGATTGTTGCTTGTTTAAATAAATCAGGATATCGGCTTCAACAACATGGCTGGCCAGCCTGTTCCACACTCCCACCACCCTTGTGTAAAGAAGTCTCTCCTGCTCCCAGATTTAAATCTACCTCACAGCAAACCGTCTGGTATCGATTCATCTCTGGCAGAGATCGAACTAGTGCTTCTGGGCTCATTTTAACTCCGAGGGATCCAGCTGATCGCCGTGTTCTGTAGTTCATGCTTGTGTCGGGGGTCTGCTTGGCTGATGGAGGCGCTGGAGGGGGCAGGGAGCGGAGTCCGTCCTAATCTAAAATCGACACGACCGGGCTTGGTATCGGTGTGACCTTTGATCTCGCTGTGGGGACGTGCTGAGCCCCGACTGTCTCGAAACACCGGCTGTGTCCGCGGACCGGGCTTGTTCTGGCTTGGCCAGGTGACCTGTGAGATCAGGGCAGTGCCTGATGACTTCAGTGGACTTAATTTGATGTGCAGCTTCTCTGAAAGTAGGCACTAGTGTGCTGCCCTAATAATAATAATAATAATAGTAAACTTTATTTTATATAGCGCCTTTAAAGGTGGCTTCTCAAAGCGCTTTATAGGCACACGGAAGAGACGAGGGGTTGAAGGAACATGGGCAGTAGAGAACGGGCCTGGCCCTGGCATCCGCGGGGCTCCAGACTGCGACAAAAATAAGAATTGGCGACAGTAACTTAACATCTAGTCGCCATTAGCG